GGAGATGGGGGATAGAGAAGGCAGATGGAAGGATCTAGAAAGTTCTTCAATGGCTATGAAAGGATCTAGAAAGTTCTTCAATGGCGGTGGAAGGGTCTAGAAAGTTCTTAAATCACAATGGAAGGATCTAGAAAGTTCTTAAACGGTGATGGAAGGATCTAGAAAGTTCTTAAACTGTGGTTACAGAAATGAAAGGATCTAGAAACCTCCTAAACAGTGATGGAGAACTCTAGAAATTTCTTAAATCGCAATGGAAGGATCTAGAAAGTTCTTAAACAGTGACAGAAGGATCTAGAAAGTTCTTATGCCTGTGGAAGGATCTAGAAAATTCTTAAACAGTGGTGGGAGGATCTAGAAAGTTCTTAAAACTCTGGTGGAGTGATCTAGAAAGTTGTTAAGCAGCCCATGCCCATGGCATCTGTAAAGGACCTGTCTGTGGGGGCTTTAGGGGCCAGTCTGAAACACTCTGCTTTGTGGCAGAGCACAAACCCTGGTTCCACCCTGACGCAGCATGGAACCGCTCAGTGGGCCCCCCCAGCTGCAGCACTGTTGGAAGTGTTCCCGTGCACCCCAAGGCAGAGAGTTGCGGGTGGGGGGGCACTAGAGGACACGCATCAGTTCAGGGACACACAGGGAGGGCTGGGCCTAGGGTTCCCTTTCCAGGAGTCTCTGGGTTCTCCCCGAGTCCAGCTGGAGGCTGCCCAGTGAGCTAGGATGGGGGTCCCAGGCTGCAGGCCGGCTATCCCCCGGGCTCGGGGCACCGTGCAGTGCGGGGAGCAGACTTAGATGTCCTTGATGCGGTGCCTGTGCTCATCCATGGAGCTGCCTTGCGGATTGTACCCTGAATCAGATTCTCAGAGTCTCGGTGAACACACGTCCTTCCCTGAGGGGTGACGGTCACGCGCAAAGGACTTCTCCATCCACATTGTCACAGACATAAGCCACAGCCAGTTCTTCAGCACAGGAGGGGTTTTTGTTTTGTTTTATTTTAGTTTGGTTTGTTTTGTTGAATGACCGTGAGATGGAGCATTACAAATTCATTCATGATTGGGTTTCAGTCACACAGATTTCCGACACCGATCCCTCCACCAGTGCAGCTCCCAGCCCCAGTGTCCCCAAGCATGGGAGGTCTTGAGCAGCCATACAGCCCTGAGGCTCGGTAAGGGACAGTGATGTCAGCCTGTGCCCCAGACCCTGCAGGAGGGGACAGACCAGGGGCTTCTTCTTGCCCCGATTGTCAGCTTGCCGCCACTTATCGTAGGCGGGTGTCAGCCAGCACCCTGGGGAGAGCTGAAGGCTTCTCTTACAAATGGGAGAAGAAAGGAGGCAGGTGTGGGGGTGCAGAGTGGGGGTTGCACCCCCCGGGCAGTGTCACCCATCATGCCCCTCCCGGATCTTGGCTCCCACCTTCTCCTGGTTGCTCGTGGGGGCCTATTTCTACATCATCCCAGCAGGCTCGGGGCTCAGGACTTGGCGCACATCACCCAGAGAGGAAGTTCCCCAACACCATCGGGGCTTCTGCCCGGGAGGAGCCCATCTTGTGAACCCCCTGCCCCTGGAGAACCCAACCCTCTCGCATCTCGCCTCAGTACCCTCCTCACACTCCTGCTTCTCCGGCGGTCAGGAGAACTATCCAGAATGCAGTCCTTGCTAGCAGCTTCCGGCTCTTATGAGGACTTTTTCGTTTGTGTGTTCAGGGCCGACTCTCAGCTTAGTGCTCCGGGGTCGTGTGGCACTGGTGATGGCACCAGGGCCTCCAGGCCTGCGCTCTTGGCCTGCTGGAACGACAGCTGGAAGCTGTGTGTGTTTCTCAGAGTCTGTACCTGCATCTGGTCGGGTGCTGGGTGTTGGCCCCTGACAGGTGGGTACAGAGAAGTGCCTGGGCTTGGTGGCTGCTCCCTAACTTTCCATAACATGCCCGTGGTCGTCAGACCAGAGAGCCAGGTGGGAGGGGGAAATGGGTTTTGCAGAAGCCCCGCCCCAGAAGCTGGGGCCCACCATGGTGCCAGGTGGGGGTGTGGGTGGCCAGACTCCAGCTCCATGTCACCCCAAGCCCCCGACCCCAGACCTGCAGTTGACCCGCCAGTGCTGCCGTCAAGCCTGGGGGGGGGGGGGGGCAGAAGCAGGCGCCTGTCCTTTTGTCTGCAACGACAAAGCCGCCCTAGGGTCCCGTGGGGGAGACAGCAGCACCTGAACTCGCTGCATCTTGACGTTCAGACAGTGAACTGAGGAAGAGCCCATGACATTTCGTCTGAAAGCGTCTGTAGAAGCGTCTCGAGCTCGTTGTTGTCTAGGGAATTCAGACCGAGCTGAAAATAGGGCCTGTCCCCACTGCGACTGCGGGTGCCGCGTGGGGGCCCACGTGCACTGCAAGGAGGGCCCAGAGAACCGTCTGCTCCTGTTGGAACTGTGCTGCTTGCTGTGGTATGTGAGAGAACATTCTCGCCACAGTGTCTTGGCTTTAAAATTCCTTTCTCTGGGGCTGGAGTGATACCACAGCGGGTAGGGTGTTTGCCTTGCACGTGGCTGACCCAGGTTCGATTCCCAGCACCCCATATGGTCCCCTGAGCACCGCCAGGAGTAATTCCTGAGTGCAAAGCCAGGAGTAACCCCTGAGCATCGCAGGGTGTGACCCAAAAAGCAAAAAAAAAAAAAAATTCCTTTCTCTGGCATAGGCACTAGTGCCTATATTTCCTTGTCTCTGGGAATCTGTTCTTTGGAGTCATGACCTAATCATTCCTAGGAGAAGATGCCCAGGAAATGGTGGGAGGTTGGCCAGGGCTTAGGGCATTTACCTTGCATGCGGCCACCTCTAGTTTGAGCCCCTGTACCACAGGGCCTCTCCCAGGTACCATCCGCAGGAACAGCCGAGCACTGAGTTGGCAGTAGCCCCCAAGCACCACAGGATGTGGCCCAAGCACACTTCTCACCCCTTTAAAAAAAATGCCCCCTGGAAAATGTTAGTTCTGGGTGGGTCTTGCTGTAGTGCAGAGGCTGTTCAGCTTTTGATGGTGACAGCTAAAAAGAACTTGCTGTGGTTGCTATAGCAACTGTGGAGACTTAATACCACATGGTAGCCTTCCGTGTGGCTCTGTGGTTCTCCGTGTGATAGTGTGGCCCTTTGCATGGCTCTGTGGCTCCCTGTGTGGTGGCACCATCGCCCTCCCCGTGGCCTTCCCCATGCTCTAGGGCTCTCCACGTGCTCCCATGCATCTTCCCCGTGGCTCTGTGACCCTCCCGATGGCTCTGTGGTCCTTAGGGGCAGATTCCAGTCTTCTGGGAAGGTTGAGTTTGATCCATTTACAGCCCAAGCGTCTCCCCAGCACGTCTGCCTGGGCCTCGGGGACAGCGGTGGCTTTTTGTCACCTGCCAGTGCAAGCAGTGGCCATTCCTAGAGCTCAGGTGGGAGTGACCTGGTGACTGTCTTCTCCTTAGAAGGGCTGGGCCCACGTCTCCCTCCTCCTCGGCTCCCACAGGGAGGGGAGTCTGGAGATACCTTTGGGTCACGTTGGGTAGGCACGACTCCTGAGCGAGGACGCTACATCCGCCGCACCTACTGTGCTCTCCAGGGGAGGGGGGCTGACTTTTTTTTTTTTACTTTTTTGTTTTCATTTTATCACTGTGAGATATAGTTACAAAGCTTTCATGTTTGAGGTTCAGCCATATAATGATGGAACACCCATCCCTCCACCAGTGCACATTTTCCACCATCAATCTCTCCCCCTACCAACATCCCAATCCTCACCCCCCTCTATGGCGGACAATTTCCCCAATATTCTCTTTCTAATTTTGGGCATTATGTTTTTTTTGTTTGTTTTTAATTTTTATTAGTGAAACACCAGGAGGTACAGTTGTAGACTTAAAGGGTGTTGGGAGGATCCTCCCAGGATGGGAGAAGCATGCTGAAAGTAGACTATAGACCAAACATGATTGCCACTCAATGCCTCTTTTGCAAACCACAACCCAAAAGGAGAGAGAGAACAAAAGGGAATGCCCTGCCACAGGGGGGCTGACTTTTATCATCCTCATTCAGTCAAGTAAGTGGAGTCCAGGAATGGCCCTGGCCCTGTGACAGAGAGGGTCCCCTGCCTGCTGGCTCTGGGGGCACTTCCGTGATCAGCCAGGGAGCTTGTCCCTCACACATGCATGGACCCGGGCGTCTGGTCTTCCGTGTCCTCACACGCTGCTGGCAGACTTCAAGCCTCTTGCCCCTCGCGGGTTCCCAGGCCTGGAGCCATTTCAGCAGCGCTCATTCTTCTTCTGCGGTCAGAAGGCAGTTTCCACGTGGTCGAGCACCTCAGGGTCAGCCTCCAGCAGTGAAACTCAGAGCCAGCTTGGGGGTCGGGGTGTTGCTGGATCTTCCCCAGCTGCTCCTCACCCAGGTGCAGAGAAGGGTCGGTTCCAACTGGAAAAACTTCCCTGCGTTCCCGTGTCTCGGCTGTGGTACAAGCAACTGTAGGTTTTCTTCTGAGGGTCACCAGGCTGTGGCGTCTGACATGCAGCCACGGGGTGTGTGTGTGTGTGTGTGTGTGTGTGTGTGTGTGTGTGTGTGTGTGTGTGTCCCGCTACCCAGAAGTGGGCAGGGCTCCCTGCACTGGCCACTCTTGACTCTTGGTCCACAACTCCATCCTGGAAGCAGCGTGTTCGGGGCACTCAGCATTGGCTTATTGATCAGTCATTTGCGCTCTTCTCTTGGGACAGACTCTGGGCTTCCTGCGCGTTCTCCAGGGAGTGAGTGTGGGTGTGTCTTCACCAGGGCCAGCTGTGTTCACTGTCCTCTGCATTCCGGGCCCCACTCCCTCCTGCCCCGTTCCCCAGGGAGGCTGCTACCCTGGGCCCTGGTGGCCACCTCCCAGGTGGTGAATGAGCCTCTCAGGACCCTCTCCTCCCACCTGGGGGACTATCCCCCTTGCGCCCTGACACCCCCAGGAGAAACGTCTCTACAAACATAACACTCAGTGCTCCCCAGAACCGCTAACTCTCTGCTCTCCTCCTCACAGACACGCGACGACTTCCTGGGACAGGTGGACGTGCCCCTCAGCCATCTCCCGGTAAGGACCCCGCCCCCACCCGTGCCCCTCCCCCATTTCCGGTAAGGACCCCCCCCTCTCCCATGCCCTCAGTCATCTCCAGAGGCCCCAGCAGTGGCCTGAAAGTGGGACAGGCCAGCAGCTTAGACAGGCCTCACCGGGAGGGCCCCAGCCAGCCAGAAGGGGAAGCTCCTTGACAAGCGGGTACAGGCACACATGCATGAGGCCCGAGCATGCATACATCTCTGGCATCACCCAGTGTGGCCCTACAGACCCCCTCCCTGCAGGCCGGGCAGGGCCAGCCAGTGTCACATCAAAGGACCTGGTTGGCTGAGCATCAGGGCGTGGCCTGCAGCCCTTCCCAACCCTAGCCCTTCTTGGGAGGGCCCCCGCACCCAAAACCTCAGTCCCGGTTCTCCCAAGGTCAAGCTTTCATGGTCAGTGGGGTGGGCAGTTGCGGGCCTCATGCAACGGTGCCTTTGACGGTTAGGGTTCCTCTCTGGGCCTCAGTTTCCCCCCGTCAAATGAAGGCACAGGTGGTGCCCGGAGCCCGTAGCAGGCTGTGTTCTGCAGCTGCCCTGCTCCGTGATGCCCACTGAACAGGAGAACCAGGCCCCGGGTTTCATGTCCCAGGACACCTGGGCCCTGGGGGCGAAACGGGGAGGCAAAAACCCCTGATTTAGAAAACGGGGAGTGTGCCCCGCCGGCCTGACCTCAGCCACAGAGAGATGGGCCCCTGTGGCCACTCCGGCTCCGAAAGGCGCCAGCATGACAGTCCCTGCACTGTCACTGCTGCTCTTCTCTAAAGCTGCTGTTTCCGCGTCGGTGGGTTAGACCGAGGGTGTCTGCGGCCTCCAAACTCTGGCGGTGTTTTATGGCTAGTCTCAAGGACTGAGAGAGGCAGCTGGGAGCCCGAGGCTGCGGGAACAATGGAATGCCATGTCCGTGGCCTGGTTAGCTCTCTGCAGCTCGCAGGAATGAATCACTCACTTATACAAGTGCCCACTTGTGCCAGCCATGTGCTTGGCACCGGGGCTCAGGGAGAACAGATCCAGGCCGCTGCTCTCAAGAGCGTATGTTCTAGAAGTGATGACTGAGAAACGCACCAATGAGCAGATGGCTTTCCGAGAGCAGAAGGGATGGCCTAGAAATCAGGGACGGTGAGTTGGGGGTATAGGAGGGACCCCGCTAGCAAAGTGGACGCGGCGTGGCCACATGTGTTTAAGTTGTGTTTAATTAATTAAAGAGTCTGGGTACTTGAGACTCTGCCTCAGGGAACATTTTTTTAATTAATGAAAGCTTACACACACACACACACACACACACACACACACCACTCCACCCCACCCCCCCAGTTTCTTGATTTGGACCAACTGATTTTTTACAATGAAATAGAGACTGCTTTGGATTTTTTGGTTTGTTGTGGGCGTCTAGGTGTGGGGAGCCCACCCAGTGGTGCTTCCTCCTGGCTCAGTGCTCAGGGATCACTCCTGGTGGGGCTCAGGGGACCATATATGGTGCTGAGGGTTGAGCCCGAGCTTCCTACATGCACTTCCCACACTCCAAACCCTCTAGCCAGCTCTTGAACCCTTGTTTTGTTTTTTAAAACACTACAGTTACATTTTTTTCTAGCCCCAGCACAGGGCTTCACTGTTTTCTGAGGCCCCCGGGATGGGTCTTGGAGGACTTGGTCCTTCTGGCAACTCCAGCTGCAGGCTTCCTTCAGTGTCCATGTGAAACAGCCCTATGTGTTCTCCCGCCGACCCGCTGTGGATGTCCGGCTTCCTGGGGCCAGGCAGGCACCCAGGGACACTGGCTCCTGACGCTAAGGAATGGCCTGAGCTGGAGCCTGCCATGAGGAAGGACACTGGGCCTCCAGAACGACTGTCCTTTTGTCATTTGTCATCTCAGGCTGCCACTGGCTCCTCGAAGCAGATGTCGCTAGTGCCATCTAGTGGCTCTTAGGAGGAGCGCGCCCCAGTCTCGCAAGAAGGAACCTTTCACCAGCCTCCCCCAGTGCTGATCAGAGGTCCCCAAAGTTCCCTGGCTCCTCGCCCCCTTTTCAGAAACAAAGTCACTCTGAGCCCTCCAGAAATCCTCCTTTTCACAAACAAGCACAAAGCACACCGCCACCCGCACCCCGCTCCTCCCCGGAATGTTGAAAGCGGGTTTCTCTCTTTCCTCCAGACCGAAGACCCCACCATGGAGCGACCCTACACCTTCAAGGATTTTCTCCTCAGGCCAAGAAGGTGAGGTGCCTGGGGGGTGGGGGTTGGGGGGACGGGCCAGGGGGCTGTGGGGCTGTCAGGTCTGTGGTGCTCCGGGCCGTCTACCTTCTCAGGCCCCTGCTGGCCTCTGTTGCCTCCTTTGGAAAAGTCATGGCAGGGGCCAGAGCAGTCGCACAGCTGGTAGGGCAATGTTGCCATGCATGCATGCAGCCAGCCCACGCTCGAGCCCCACATCCCATAGGGTCCCCCGAGCACCGCCAGGAGTAATTCCTGAGCCACAGAGCCAGGAGTAGCCCCTGTGCATCACCAGGTGTAGCCCTCCCCCCCAAAAAAAAAATTAACAAATGCTAATAAGTCGTTGCAGATCTGAGCGATGGAGCCAGGTGCCCCCGCTCTGACCCTCCTTTCTCCTGTTGCAGTCACAAGTCTCGCGTGAAGGGGTTTCTGCGCTTGAAAATGGCGTACATGCCCAAAAACGGCGGCCAGGACGAGGAGAATGGCGAGCAGAGGGAAGACATGGAGGTGAGCACGAAGCGGCGGCCTGGCCCCAGCTCCACCCCACAGGGCAGGCTTGGCACAGACACACCTACGCCCACATGCACGCATGCACCCACACCCACACGCATGCATGTGCACGCACACACATGCACCCATGCACACACACATGCACCTGCAAGGCCCCGCTGTGCCGTGCCGTGCAGGGACACTGATCACGCATCCCCTGCCAGATCGCTCTCGGACCTGTGCCATCTCCCTGTTCCACCCAGGCAACCGCTGAGTCAGATCAGGCTGGTGAGGGGTAGGTGCCATTACTGTGCCATCCCCCGACCCTTTGCATCCACATCCTCCTGTCCCCTCCACGGCCACCACAAGGGGCAGCCCAGCTGACTGGGCATCCCGTCCGCGGGGGTTTTTCTCAGCCCCTCCCAGCGGGGGCTGGCCTGCACCGGGATCAGGGTGCGCCCACACACACGCTCCTGTCCGAGCTAGAGAGCAGAGGGGCAGGGATGAGGGACTGTCCTGTCTGCGGGCTGCCCCCTGCCCCGCGGCCAACTCACACGCTCACCTTTGACTCCCGCGCAGCATGGCTGGGAGGTCGTGGACTCCAATGACCCTGCGTCACAGCACCAGGAGGAGCTGCCGCCCCCGCCTCTGCCCCCGGGCTGGGAAGAAAAAGTGGACAACCTGGGGCGCACCTACTACGTCAACCACAACAATCGCAGCACGCAGTGGCACCGGCCCAGCCTGATGTGAGTCCTCGCCCAGCCCCGGGCCCGCCCTCTCTGTCTGCGCCCTGGGGTTGGCGGACTTGTATGTGGTTGTCAGGGATGCAACATCCCCACACCCTGCACCTCTGGGTCCAAGGGTGAGCCCCCTCCCCCACGGTGTCAGCATGTGATTGTGGGGTTCTCTGGGATTCTTCTGAAGCTGAAGTGCACGGGGGAGCCTACAGAGGTGCCGAGCAGACGCCCTTCTGTCCCGCTCTGCCGTTGCAGACGGGGAATTCCTCTGGCCTGGGACCTCTGAGGTCTGCTGAGCCGACAGCAGAGAGCGGGCACATCCCCGTGATTCCACACATGGACAGTGATGCCCACCCACCCCATCCAGTTTCCTGTCCAGGCTTCAATCCAAGCAAAAGCTTCCTGCAGGATAGGATGGTCAGGCGCGGTTCTCCTCCGGTCTCTGGTTTTCGTGGTCTCCTCTGATCGGGACAGCCTCTGAAAACCTTTCCCTCCCCTTTTGGGGGAGTGGGTATCTGTCTCCTCCCCTGGGTATCCTCAGAAACACAGGGGGAAGGGTTGCACACGAAGAATCAGTAATTACTGTTTATTCTAATCTCTTCCACTGCCTCGGGGTGCAGCCAACTGATTACTGTTTTGTTTCTTTGGCAATTTTTGGTCTGATGATAGCAAATACTCGTTAAACCTCCACTACTGTAAATTTAAATATAAATTGGAGCAGCTTGTTTTTAAATGGCAGTACTGAGGCACAGCCTGAAACTACCTACAACTCAAGTGTTAAAAGAAGACAAAGGAAAAGTCACTTTCTGAATCGTGAATTCCCTAGCAGCTAAGAGAGTGATCAATCAATTATATCAATTTTAGTATGCAGTTAGAGCAAGCCAGGTCATTTACATCCTAACTAGAATCTGAAAGAAGTTTCTCATTGAAAGATTTTTTTGTTGGTTTGCTTTATTTTTTTGTTTTGTTTTGTTTTGGTTTTGGGCCGCACACGAGGTACTCAGGGCTTACTCCCGGCTCTGCACTCAGGGGTCGTTACTGGTGGGTTCAGAATCCATTTGGGATGCTGGGGATTAAACCCAGGTCGGCCAAGTACAAAGCAAGAACCCTACCCATTGTGCTTTCCCACTGGCCCCGTTCCAGTGATGGTTTTTAAACTGGGGGTATTTGCAGTGGGATGGTGGGTGTGTTTGGGAACCCTGTTCTCTGAGAATCAGGCACACACTCTGCACGAGAGCAGGGAAGGTGGCTGAGCCTGTTGTGATTGTTTCTTAGACGAGGCAGAACCCAGGTGAGTTCTCAGACCCCATCAGCCTCTGTCCCAGGGCACCGTGGACACCAGCCTTCGGATCAGTGAACGCTCTGTTGGCCTGTGTCCCATAGAAACAGAAATGGGAATTGTTGGTGTTGCATTTTATTTTTTATTTTCTATTTCCCTCGTAGTGATTGCTGTAGTCCCTAAAACTGTTGCAAGCTACTTGGTTTCTCTGGCTGTGGTGATAGTGGGACTCCCTTCCCTTGATGGGTGGATCTTGGTACTAGCCCCTAAGCAGAGCACCTTTCCTGCTTCTCACCTCACTGGAAGGAACCCCTGAGCTCCCACATGTCACATGACCCCTATGGAACTGTGACCACTAGCTGCTCACAGAGGAAGACCTGCTAAAGGTCACTCCCCACAGAGTAATGTCCTCCTCCATGGAGAATCACCACAGAATAGTGCCCATTTTCACTGAGAATCACTCACGGGGTAACGTCCTCCTCCACAGAGGCTCACCAAGTCAAGTCCCCCTCCAAAGGGAATCACTGCAAAGTAATTTCCACCTTCACTGAGAATCATGCAGAGTAACATCCTTTTTCATGGAGAATTTCCCCACAGAGTAATGTCCTTCTTCACTGAGAATTACTCAAAGAGTAATGTCCTTCTTCACTGGAATTACCCACATAATAATGTTCTCCATGGAGAATTACCACAAAGTAGTGTCCATCTTCACTGAGAATCACCCACAGAATAATGTCCACCTTCACTGAGAATCATCCGCAGAGCAATGTCTCCATAGAGAATCATCCACAGAATAACGTCCTCCTTCACTGAAAATCACCCACAGAGTAAGGTCCTCCACAGAAATTCGCCTACAGAGTAATGTCCTCCACAGAGAATCACCCACAGAATAGTGTCCTCCTTCACTGAAAATCACCCACAGAGTAATGTCCTCCACAGAAAATCACCCACAGAGTAATGTCCTTCGTCACTGAGAAGTAGCTTGCAAGTTGAGGTCTGTGCTGGGGCCATTAGTGGAGGGGCACAGTCTCTCTGGCGGTGGGACTCTGTGGGAGTTCCAAGGAAAACTTTAATGGGTTTCTGTGTTTTCACACTGGAGCGATAGCACAGCGGTGGGCGTTTGCCTTGCGCGCCGCTGGCCCGGATGAGCCGGGTTCGATTCCTCCGCCCCTCTCGGAGAGCCCGGCAAGCTACCGAGAGTATCTCACCCACATGGCAAAGCTTGGCAAACTCCCTGTGATGTATTCGATATGCCAAAAACAGTAATAACAAGTCTCGCAATGGAGACGCTACTGGTGCCTGCTCGAGCAATTCGTATATTGTATAAAATTGTATAACTGGGCTCTGCCGCAGCCCATAGCAGTGTAGGACAATGTGGGGTGCTTTACTCAAGTTCAGGTTCACATGGGGTTCAGGCTAGGGTCACAGGCAGGACTGACCTGTCCAGTGTGCATCAGCAGAAGTGAGCAGCCCTTCCTTTCAGCAGACACACAGGACTTCTAGAAAGCAGGGAAGTTAGCTAAGAGAGAGGGGCCCACTCACTCTGTCCTTGAGTGGTATGAGGATATGGAATTCGTTCCCCTTTGTTTTGTTTTGTGGCACACTCGGTGCTCAGGAGCTACTCCTGACTTGGTGCTTGGGAACCCATTCCAGAGATGCTATGGAGGAAAACCTGTTGTCTTGGCAGTGATTTTATTGCATCCAGGTAACTGCTGAATAGTTGCTGAGTCACTTGGGGGTCTGCAGATCATTGATCTAACACCCTGACTCTAACTGGCCCTGAACATCTGCACTGATTTTTTTTTCCTATCTTGCTAAACTTTCCATGAGTGTCTAAGGACAAAGAAACTTGTAATACTAGGGACTGAAGAAAATGACCAAAAACACGTCTTAAATTTTTTTTCTTGCCCCCAATTAAGCCATTTTGTGTTGATTGGGCAGCTCAGAAACATCCTAAAGTATTTTCATCTTCCCCCTGAGTGCCCAGTTCAGCCCCCAGTCGGCATCAGCATCCTGCTCATTCAATTCATAATCGAACACAAACAGCCTGTGTGGATCTCATCTCCCTATTAGCCCTGCAGCCCCCTGACTGGGATTTCAGATGCCAAGGTGCGGTACTGCTTTAGGCCTGGGAATGGGCTCCGGCCCATGTTTGTTCCTAAGCAGTTGCCAGTCGCTGGTTGACTAAGGAGACTAAATACCTGCTTTTTAAAAATCAGCCCTTCTGGGATTAGGGTGATGGCATGGCAGGTCAGACGCTTGCATTGCATGCAGCCGACCAGGGTTCCATCCCCAGCGTCCCCAAGACCTCCAGGAATGATCCCTGAGTGCAGAGGCAGAAGGAAGGCTTGAGCATCGCCAGAAACATAAAACCAGCCCTCCCGGAGTTCCAGGCTCCTCCCTAAGTATCCACGTGCAGGCACGCCACAGCACAACCTCACTTTCCTCCCCACCCCTAGTCCCTTATCTGAAGTGCTGTGAGGATCAAGCTTGTGTCAGGACTCAGAGCACTCATGACTCTGTGTGCACCCAGGAAACCGTGGACGGTGTCTCATGTGACAGCTGCGTGTGCTGGTGAGACTCCAAGACGGAAAACGTTTCCACAGACGGCCAGTCACTGTGAAGCGATATGGCTCTCATCCTTCCCAGCTTCTCTCTGTTCACACCTGCAGTTACTTTCGGAAAACCACGTGCTTAAGAATTGAATGGCCTGTGGAAGCAAGGGTAGACACTGCAAGCCCCAACCAAACACACACACACACACACACACACACACACACACACACACATACACACACACCCCAGAAGATTGTATGATTCTGTGAGCATTTAAGCTTCATAGTGCAGAGCGCCCTCCACTGGGATTAGTGGGGATTACTATTATCATGTGAATTTCGTGGAAGTCGGCCTCCCTCCTCCCCCCCTTCTCTCACCATGTAATAATGTTGATGGACATGCCGAAACCATCCCTGAAGTAGATCTGAAAACACCCTCATGGGTTTGCACTGGGAGTTGTGGGTGGTTCTTATTCCCCGACCCGGCATGGCTCTATTTCAGGACAAGAAGTGAGATGTTTTCCAGCCTTCGTTGGAGAGGGCGCCTCTTTCTCAAGGGCCCTTGGCTAATGCTGTATTTCAGCAGGTCTGGGATATTGTTTCTGCATATTTTGAAACATGGGCTGTGACATCATTCTTGCTCACTATGGTGCCTTATTGAAAGATCACAAGATTTTTTTTTTCCCCTCTGAAAAATGTTTTGACATTTTAACTTCCACTCTAAAATCCTTCAAGTGCTCTTTCTCCCAAAGGGAAGATTGCCTGTAATTTTCTGCAAAACTTTCCAAGGCTGAGTGGATGGTTTCAACGCCTGACGGAGAGTTGCAGTCAGAGACACACACATCACGTTTGGTGCACAATTCCCAGTAGAGGATTTACACATGCACCAAACACACATGTGCGCGCGCGCACACACACACACACACACCCCTACTAGAAGATTGTATGATTCTGTGAGCATGTAAGCTTCATAGTGCAGAGCGCCCTCCAGTGGGTGCCTGCATGAGTGAACACGAGCATGCATACACACACACACACACACACACACACACACACACACACACGCACAGTTTGGATTCCTACCAGCATGAAACAGGCGGGAAAGCAGTGTCCAGTTGCTGAGGCCATCCAAATGCCCCAGCGCCGAGCTGTCTGTCAGATCTGATGTCCCCACGTCCTGCCTGTTTGACCTTTGCTCATGACCAGCACTGGCTGGTCTCATGACTTCAGGAGGGTCCCCAGGGCTAGCCTAGCTGGGAGTGAGTGCCCCCACCTGTCCCCTCCTGCCACCATGCGCCCTCACCTGTCCCTCTCTCCCTAGAGAGAGCAGTGGGCTAGGGTCCATCTGGAACATGTTCCCAGGGTTCAGTGCCCGCTTCTTCCTGAGATGGCCCCTATCACTGGGTCTCCGCAATCCCTGAGCTGTGCGCCTCTGGCCTGTGCATGTCCAACCTGCAGGGACATCTGCCTGGCAGTGACACTCCGCGGTCTGTGCTGGAACGTCACATGGGTGTTTGGATTGTACACACCTTGCTTCAGTCGGACAAAGATTTATTTGAAAGTTTACTAGTTCCCTGCAACATGAACCATGACCAGCAGCGGAAATTCCCTGTCCTACATGGCACTGGCCCACACTAGTTAGACAAAACCTGGAGCCAGGGCTCAGTGGGGTCGGGCACATGCCTGGCACACGTGAGGCCCCAAGTTCATCCCCGGTAACCCCTCGCCCCCCCAAAAAAAAATTTAGATATGAACGTAAAAGATTTGTACGTTATGACATATGTTCCTGAAAAGGAGGTCAGAATCCTCAGTGATGCCTTTCAGGGCTGTTTATTTCACTGAAATGGAACCAAGGGAAGGAGAGGAGAGGCTCAAGTACTTTGTGATGGGTCATGGGTGTCGGTGTGGGGAGGCTGTGTAGGTTTATTGACTTGAGAAGGGGGATGGGCCGTGCCTGGCAGGCTCTGGACTTAGCCCTGACTATGCTCAGGGGTCACTCCTGGTGTTATTTGGGAGAGCCTGTGCCATGTTGGGGGTCAGGCCAGAGCCAGCCGGGCATGAAGCAGGCTCCTTAACTGCAGCCCTGAGTGCAGTTTTGTTGTTGGCCGAGCCGGGCATCATCAAATCCAGGGCCTGGTGCTTCCAGGGCAGGCGCTCCACCTCCTGGCTCCCTGCAGATCACAGCCCGAGTGTTGCATGGTTTTGTCACAGGGCCACTGACGGCCTGTCCTGCCTTCCCCCGTCCCTCGCAGGGATGCGTCAGCCGAGTCGGAGAGCAACATCCGGCAGATCAACCAGGAGGCCGCACACCGGCGCTTCCGCTCCCGCAGACACATCAGCGAGGACCTGGAGCCCGAGCCGGGCGAGGGCGGAGATGGCCCCGAGGTAGGAGGGCACAGCCCAGCTCTGCAGTGCCCCCTGCAGGCCCCAGCACTGTCTGCATGGTGGGGACCCAGAGGGAGCATAGAAGGTGCTGCACAATCTTGTCTGAAGGGTGTGTGGATCCCTGTCACAGCCATCTCAGGTGCTTCCATGCTAACATTCATCTCCCAGGGTCTGCACTGAGCACACAGTGGCCTGGTTACTGTTCCTGGGCAGTTTGAGGCCTGTGACTTGGTTGGGTGCAGATAAAATTCTTTGAAAGTTTTTCCTCTAATGGGGAGGAACGGGGGGACAGCACCTGGTTAGGTGCTCCAGGTCACTCTCACCAGAGATGGGGTCCGACCTGGGCAAGTGTGCAAGCATGCAGGTAGCCCGTTGAGTTTTCTCTTTCCAGCCTTTAGAGACACGTTCTAGCTCTGGGGCGTTTTATCCAAAACGCACCAAATGAGATTTTTGGTTTTTTTGGTTTTTTTGCTTTGGGGGTCACACCCAGCGATGCACAGGGGTTACTCCTGGCTCGTGCACTCAGGAATTGCTCCTGGCAGTGCTCGGGAGACCATATGGGATGCTGAGAATTGAACCTGGGTCAGCTACATGCAAGGCAAACACCCTACCCACTGTGCTATTGCTCCAGCCCGCCAAATGAATTTTTATTACCCAGAACACATCCATCTGAATGAGCAGACATGGTGATTTAATTCCCCTTTCGTATGGGGGTAAATGCTTGGGGGCACGTTGTGATGGGACAGCAGGCTAACCACTGCCCTTACCTGCCGGTGACTGGCTTGAAGCCTTCAGGAAGCACAGGAGGGCCCAGTGATGCCCGCTGGGAAAGCCCAACGCATCGTCCCTCATAGACTCGCTCAAAGCTGCTTGTGTCTAGCGTCTCATTATAGCTCCCAGCAGCTCTGCTTCTCCCTGTGATTCCTCAGCCGTCCAGGGTTAAGGCTGATTCCCTCCCTGCTCACCAGAGTGGCCTTCAGTGACCGCTCAGAGGACTCTTGTCACCCAGCATTCCAAAACGCACAGCCCCTGGAACCTGCCCTTCTTGGCTCCAAGGCTGGGCCCTGCCATTTCCCAGAGATCCATTAGCCTTGGGCAGATGACGCTCCGTGCCTCGGTTTCCTCATCTGTTAATTAGGGGGACTCACTCCATCTCGGGGTGCTCGTCCTGGCTGGCCTCCTGGGTAGCTGGTAAACACTCATTAGAGTTGTTGTCCTGGCGATGCATGTGTGTGCGTGTGTGTGTGTGTGTCTATGTGTGTCTGTGTGTGTCTGTGTGTGTGTGTGTTGGGAGGGAGAGGGAGGACCCCTGCTTCTCAGCACCTGTGTCAGCTTCTCGCTCTGTGGTAGCCTTGGGAGACCATCTCAGAGGAAGTGAATCTCAGCGGAGACGCCCTCAGCCTGGCGCTGCCCCCTCCTCCGTCATCCCCCATCTCTCGGACGAGCCCCCAGGAGCTGTCTGACGAGCTGAGCCGAAGGCTGCAGATCACCCCCGACTCCAACGGGGAGCAGTTCGGCTCTTTGATCGTAAGTCCCGGGCCCCGCTCCTACGAGAAACCGCGCTCATTCCGCCTCTCCTGTTTGCTGGGGGAGGAGCTAAGGCCAGGGGCTGCCAGCCCCCGTCCCCCCAGATCACTCCCGTAGGTGCCAAAGTTCTTCCTTCCTGGGGGAAAGCAGGTCTGGGCACAAGTCGGACCCAACCCCGAGAGCCTTTCCTGGTCGGCACCAAGGAAAGGCGACCCAAGGGAGGAGCGAGCCGAGAGGGCCTCGTCCCCACCAGCTGTGACCTTGGAGTGTTTCTCTGTCCAGCCAGATGCTCTGGTACCCTCATGCCACAGGGGCTGCCCCGGGTCTTCCAGAATCCCCGGTTTACATTCCCTGAGCAGCCGAAGTGGCCTGTTTGAGGCATACTTGGAACAAGGAGCAGGAAACGTCTCCTGATTTCATCCCAGTACAAATCCTCTCGAGAAGTTGTGATCCCAGGATGCGGCTGACATTTGAACTTGGGTTCTCAGCCTCTGGGACAACTCTTTCCAGAAACTTCCACTTGGGGGCCAAGGGCACATGGCAGGGGGCCGGGGGTTGCTGATACCGTGATGAGAAGCAGCGGAATCCCTGGGGAGAGGTCACGTTTGTCCTCGTGCTGCAGTCAGCGTCCACAGGAGGCTGAGAGCACACCGCCTCGTTGTTTCTTCAGCAATCGACACAAATGCACACACGTGCACACATACACACGTTGCACACGCATGCACAGTGCACACGCACACACTCTCACATACACACACGCATGTGCACTTATGCACGCACGCACACATACATGCACACATGTGCACATATACACATGTGCACACACATGCATACACGTGTGCACACGCTTGCACATAAACTCACATGCACGTGCATGCACACACACTCATGCGCACATACACACACGCAGGTGCGCATATACACAAGCCCACGCAGGGTGCTGGGGAGGCCTCGCGGGGCCACGTGTGGACGCGTGTTGCTGACGTCTGTCCCTCCTCTCCCCGCAGCAGAGAGAGCCCTCGTCCAGGCTGAGGTCCTGCAGCGTCACGGAGGCCGTCGCCGAGCAGGCGCACCTGCCGCCGGTAACCCCGCTCCCTCCCGGCCTCGCTGCCTCTCTCCCCTTCCTGTCTTTGGTCGGGGCTCCTGGGGAAGAGTTCTTCCTGTGCCAGTCCCTCGGCCCTGGCCGCTGCCCAGTCAGAGCTGCCGGCCCCAGAGTGTCCACAGTGTCTCTGAACAGCCTTCGTTTCCCGCCTTAATGACCACCCATCTCGAAAGACTCCCCCCAAATGGCCTCAACAGGGCTGGGGGTGCTGCTCAGATGCCTGACGTGGGCCAGGCCTAAGCTCCGTCTCCCACACCCATGTGGCCCCTAAGTTTTATTTACGTGACATTGGGACTGGGGATGCGGCCCTTGCCTTGGCTTGCCTTGGCAAGAATTTATTTGCCTTGGCTCATATGAGACCCTGGGTTCCACCCCAGCCACTGCAAAAAAAAAGTAAATTAAAAAGTAAACCCCCCCTCAACCCCACCCCCCACTTTTCTCTAATTTACACCCAAAGGCTGTGCCCCCAGGCCTGATTCTTCGAACCGGCCGCATCCCTTTAACAGGAAGAACTCTTCTGGGTTGGCAGCAAGTGATCTTTCTATTACTAATGGCCTAAACTCTTAACCCCACGAATGCTCTGCGCTACTTCTGGTGAGGGCAGCTCTGTGGTTTCCACGACTAGCGGCTAAGCGGAACACCAAGGGGTGCTGTGTAGTATCGGGAAGACAAGCAAAATGAGTGTCCAGGTCGGAGTGCAGACCAGGGTGCCCTGGGGACGGGTCAGACCGAGGATGTGATTGTCCCGTGTCTTCTCGCGTGGCCTTAGCATGTTCGTCTTGGTGTTTGACCGGGGCCTTTCTGCCTTCATTTCTGCAAACCCGTGATCATGTTTAGGGTGGATGAGGTGGGAGGGTACAGTGGGGGTTCATCTGCATTTTTACCATCATTGGGTCCTCCCTGTTTGGAAGCCATTTGTCGCTAGGTTTCAGCTCATCTCCTAAATGAATGAGAAAACGAGTCCGTGCATCGGGGGACATACTAGCTTCAGTTGTGGCTTTCCTGGCTAAGAAAGTTGACAAAAGCGTTCTCTCTGGGATAACCTCAGTTCCGGTCTCCCCAAAATCAGCTATGCTGAACCAGGGACATACACCTCCCCTAGTGATTAAGGGTCTCCTTACTAATTATTGACCAGCTTTGTTTTTTTTTTTTAATTTCCTTTTCAAAATCAATATCTTCTCCTTTTTTTCTCTTTTTTCTTTCTTTTTTTTTTTTTTTTTGACTAATGAACTCACTTTCCTGCTGATTTCTCCCTCCTCATATTCCATGAACTGTCAACTCCTTGAGCCCAAGCGGCCCCTTGAAACAGTTTTTATTTGGGGGCCACACCCAACAGTCTTCCCTGGCTCTGCGCTCCTGGTGGTTCTCCAGGGAACCATCTGGGGTCCCAGGGATCAAACCCCAGGTCTGCCATGTCCAGGCAAGCGCGCTACCCATTATGCTATCCTTTCCAGCCCTCTGGCTGGAACTTTGAGTTCCGTGGCTCTCAGACTTCATGGCTGCTGACTTCACAGCAGGACACAGAACCACAGCCTTTGCCAGAGGGTCTGCGCCTCACGCTGCTGCATTGCGCATTCACTGCCCACTGACTCTGGGCTGCGAGCTGACCCTTTCTGGTGGCCAGCAGCTCTATGCTTGTGTCTTTTCTGGCCACGGTGATGGTGCTGCTTCTCGGGTACAGGCCAGGTGCCCCTACCTCGCTGCCGCTGCCCAGTTCCCCATGAAGCAGTGGGTGCCCCCCCCCCCCACCAAGAGCGTTTCACTGATGTCCGTTGTCCTTTAACAGCCCAGCGCCCCTGCTAGGAGAGCACGGTCATCCACTGTCACGGGCGGTGAGGAGCCAACGGTAATGATGCCCTTGCTGGAGCCAGTAGGCAGAGCCGTGGGTGGGTTGTTACAGGGTGTACTGTGCCAGTTTACCTGTCTTTCCTTTGGGAAGACTTCAGAGAGATCAGCTCAGGGGTGGTCTAGAGCTGCACATGCTGTTGAATTTTTGTTCTGTTTTTGGCTTTTGTGTTTTTGCTGTTGAGGGTAAGTAAGCCACACCTGGTGGTGTTCGAAGCTTACTCCTGGCTCTATGCAAGAGATCACTCCCAGCAGTGCTCAGGGCTTACTCCTGGCTCTGTGCTCAGAGATCACTCCTGGCAGTGCTCATGGCTTACTCCTGGCTCTGTGCTCAGGAATCACTCCCAGCAGTGCTCAGGGCTTACTCCTGGCTCTCCGGCGATGCTCAGGGTTCACTCCTGGTAGGGTTTGAAAAACTATATGTGGTTCCAGGTACTGAATCAGGGCTGTGTGCATGCAAGGCAAGCTCCTGAACCACTGCCCGTTTCTCTCCAGCCCAGTGCTGCTCATTTTAAACCTGGCGAGTATTTGTTACTCTCAAATGGAACTATTTTTCGGGTCACTCTCATTTAGTGGAAACGCAGCCCCAAGTGGGCTGAGCTTATTGCACTGGACCACGTAGAAGGTATTTCTGCCTTTCCAGGGCTGGCCACAGACCAGCTTCTGCTGTGTATGAGAGAGGGGCAGCTTCCTGGCCCGGGGGCTGCCCAGAGAGACCCCAAGGAGCCACATGTCCTTGTGCTCGGCCATCCCCACCCCGGGCACTTCCTGCCCCACCTTCCAGATAGAGCTGGGCATGGGGCTCAGTGCTGGGCATTGGCTCTGTCCACTGGCTTCATCGTCCCAGGCAGTGCTGTGGGAGCAGGAACCCCAAGACCTTGATCTGCTCCAAGCACTCAGCAGGCCCGGGAGTGAAGATGTTCCCATAGAATTGGGGGCAGCGGGTGAGAGTGAGGAAGATGAAGATGAAGACGTTTCAAAGGTCTTGGAGAAAGACCTCTCTAGGCCCACTCCATTATTCTTTATTACCGTTCAGTGTTTTGAATGATTTCTAGTGTTCGTGCTTATCGGTAACTCGAGTTTACTGTGAATTTCCCGAACCTTCAGTTTGGTGTGGGTTTTGTCTTCTGAACACTTTTCCCGGTTGGCGCTTCTCTGTGTTCTCTGTCACCTGAGCTTGTTGAAGTTCCCTCTCGGTGTAGTCTACCATCGCTGGCTTCAACACGATGCCCTCGAGCACGAGAAACAGCAGGTGTGGTTGGACACTCAAGCTCACACCGGCCCTGGAGCCTCACCTTGGCTGTGGACAGGGTTGGGCCCAGAGCAAGAAACTAAACTACTGGGATTTGCACAAAAGTCCCGGGTCGGGAGCATCGGACACAGCCCTCTTTAGAATCCAAGGAGTTCCAAGTGACAGGGTATCCCCTGGCCGGCACCCCGGCACGTTCTGTCAGAGCTGGGCTCCCTGCTGATGCAGAATAGCCACTCCTGAGGGGGCCATGACAGCATCAGTGCTTGGAGACCCTCTTGGCAGTGTGTGCGTTCCCGCACCCCAGAACATGCAGTCAGAGTCAGAGCATTGTGGGGGGATGTGAGTGCTGGGGCAAGTGGGAGAGCTCCCAGGAGTGAGCACCGCAGGACCCGCCCACAGCCCTGCCCTCCCCTTGGGGAACTAACGACCAGAGGAGGTCGCTGACTGAGGGCCGGGTGTGTAAGGAGTAGGTTTCGGTGCTTCCAAAGTGCTTCCCAGTTCTCGTGCCCCCCGCTCCCGGCCCTCTCAGGTGCCCCTCCCGTATGAACACCCTTGCAGACCTTTCTAGAACACCCTGCCCTCCCTCCCCGAGGCCCCCGTCATCCCTGTCCTCCTCTGGACCCAGTCCATCCCTCCGTGTCAGCCTCACACCCCGTGTGCACTCCACACAGCCCTCGCTTTCACCCGGGCTCCCCCCCACGCACTCACGACGCGTGTCCACACACCAGCCCGAGAGAACATGAGGCCTCACATGGACTCCACATGCGTGTATCTCACACACAAACAGCCGCTGGGACTTCTCACAGACCTGCCACGGTAAACACGTGTCGCACACTTCCACATGAGAAAGTGGCCCTCAGACACGTCTGGGTGTGTGCAGACTCGCGGGCACAGTGCAGAAGAGTCTCGGATCCCAGCCTCGTTGCCACCTGACTTCCCTGGGGCCCGTGGGCGCCAGTCACCAGTCACACTCGGTGACACGTGTGCACCAATTGGCAGACATCCTCATCACTGAGAAACACAGATCCCCCCTGCCCACCCCCTTCCCCCCCCCCGTTAACCCGCTCAGTGGGGCCCTGTGCACAGTGTAGGGAGAGCCCCAAGTTTCTCCTGAGGCCTTTGCCACATCTTGGTGATACAGAGGTATCACTAGGGCGCATCTGGCCTCCACCAAGGTGGCAGCGAGTTCGGGGAACCCCAAGCGCCAGCGCTTCACACTCCATTCGCTTTGGGAGCATGTTAGTGGTTGTGCAGAGCGAGTATCGTTCCGTTCTTGTCCGCATGTGTAAATGCGGCCACACAGTGGTGGCAGCTCGGGAGCCGTGTGGCAGTGTGCAGTGAAGGCGGGGGAACGGGGGCTCCCAACAGGCAACCTGCTCATGTGGAGGGCCTGTACCTGCCGACCATGTTGCTGACAGTGGCACAGAATGCACACTGGGATGCATGCGTGCACACACACACACACACACACACATGCAGACGCATACCGACACACAGACACACAGATGTAGACACAAACATGCATGCAGACACCTGCAAATGTGCAGATACAGACTGACATGCAATGCAGACAGACAGACAGACAGACGCATGCACACGCACGCACACTGACAGACACTTCCACATATGGGTGGAGAGGGCTCCTGACTCCAAGACTGGGCCCCACCTCATCTGGTTGGAAACCGAGTCGTGCCCCTCCCCTGACTCCGGGGGCCAGGGCATCTCTCACAGAGCAGAGTATGGGTGGTTCTCCATGGATAATGGCACACCCTACCCAGAACCACCACTCTGATTATCCACGTAGATGGGGCTACCTGCAGGCTCCACATCAGTGCTCAGCAGAGGGGAGAGAGGTCCCGGCAGAGTTCAGACCCCCTTCCACACTCCTGCTTTTCCAGGAGGGTGCATGCCTTCACTGGTGGAGCCGGGACAGTGATCGCAGTAGAACAGGGTCAGGTGCATGGCCAGAAATCTTCACTGGCCACTGGGTGGGACAGAGCTGATGGTACCCTCACTGGGCAGTATTCAAGGCACCCAGGTGAGAAGGAGCCTGTGAAGGGCTCTGCTACAAGCACTCTGGATGGGTAGGATTGGGAGAGCTGCATCTGAGTCTGAAGTTGCCGGAAGGCTGGAGTCTGCCTGGCATGGTTTCCTGCATTCTTGCTGATGGCGTCTGGACTATGAGTTCAGGCAGAGTTCCGTGCGGGCACATGAAGGGGCAGAGCTCACGATAGCAGCCGCTCAATTTCTGCAAAATGTTGTTTCGGGTCATCACTGGCCAGTGAGTGTGTCTAGCAGCCTCCATGGAGGCTCAGCCCGCCCCCTCTGCACAGGACCCCCTTGGGAGGGCCTTAGAACTGCCTTCTGGAAGAATGTCGGTACCAGGGCTGGTGGGGGCCGAGGAACCCTCCTCACTGCAGATTTGAAGCTATTATGATCTGTTGCTATTTTCCTGAGATTATACGTGGCGTACAAAAAAAACCTAAACAATAAAAATTGTACTAGGGAAAAGAAAAGTATGACATAATAGTATTTCTCTGGGTATTCAGTTGTTAAACTTGGTCGGGAAGCAAATATGCATGCTCTTAAATAATGATGATTTCTTACGCAAACAGCCGTCGGTGGCCTATGTACATACCACGCCGGGCCTCCCTTCGGGCTGGGAAGAGAGGAAAGATGCTAAGGGCCGCACATACTATGTCAATCATAACAACCGAACCACCACATGGACCCGGCCGATCATGCAGGTACGGCATCACCCGGGGCAGAAGCCAAGATGGACAGATAGGACCCCCGTCGTTTCTTTGGCTTCTGCTCTGGGAGCACCGGGGGTTCTAGAAACTTTGTTCTCACCGAAAAAAAACAAAAACAAAAAAAGCATCCATTTCAACATAATACTGGCCCCTATGGAGGAATCGAAGTCCCAAAGCAGTCTTTTTCTAGATACTTTTTTTTTCCCCCAATGCAGGGCTAGAACCCAAGACCTTCCACGTTATCAAGCATGTGTGTATTCTGATAATTTGGAGGGGCATAGGGCAGGGTGGTCTTGCAGATACTGCTCAGGGATCCACTCCCACAGTCCTCTGCCATCCCAGGCGTGCAGCCGCTGGTCCTACCTGGGCCTTGGGGTATGAGAGGCCCCAAAAGCTCAGCCCCCTGTGCTGGCGGGGGTCATGCAGGGCCAGGGACGGAACTTGGATTCTTGTGTTTGCAAAGCACGCAACCCCTCACTCCCCAGCTCGGTGATCGGGTGGGAAGGGGGACACACTCACTCAGTGGGGCTCCTCCACCTCAGTGCTCAGGGGTCTGTCCTGGTGGGGCTCAGGGGACCAGGCCGTGGCTGGGTTCAAACCTGAGCCCCTTGCACGTGAGCAAAGCCCAGGAAGCTCTCTTTGCGGGCCCCCCCCACCCCAGTACAGCCGTTGTGTTTTTTTCACGTGCCCCCGGAATCTATTTTCGAAGCCAGAGTGGATTCTTCAGGCATCCCGGCTCCCTGCCCCCTCCTCCCCTCCTCCGCCTCGGGCTGCTTTTGTGGCAGGGCCGGTGATTCATTTTTGTTTCCCATGAATGTTTTTGTCCCGGTGCGCGTTACCCATCATTAGAGCTAATCGTTTCCTCCCTGCCAGCCCTCTCGTTATCATCACCGGCCGTGTTGTTATTGCCGGGCGGGCGCTTGCTCTCGTCACCCGGGCCGGGCCCTCCGACAACGACAAAGCTAAACTTGTTTTTGCCTCCGAAATAGCTCGCAGAAGACGGTGCGTCCGGATCGTCCTCAAACAGTAACAACCACCTAATCGAGCCGCAGATCCGCCGGCCCCGTAGCCTCAGCTCGCCCACCGTAACTTTATCTGCCCCCCTGGAGGTGAGAAGGCTGCCCGGGGGCGTCTTTTCCTGTGGCTCCTCCTCCTCCTCTCTGCCCCTCTCTCCTCTCTCCCTGCGGGTCTTCCATCCGTCCGTCCGTCCATCCATCCATCCGTCCATCCCACCATCCGTCCGCGCTCTGCTCAGTGCACCGCTCCCTGCCGTGGGGAAGGTCCGTCCTCGTGGCTTCTCTGTTCCGTCCAGTCTCCATTCCCGGACGACTCTCATCTCATTCGTTGGTGGCGGCGGTGCTGGGTGGGTGCCCTCTCTCTCTCTTTCTGGAACGTTCTCCGTTGTGTTCTGCTCCTTCTCCGCCTGCTCTCCTCACGAGCGCTGCAGAACTGCTGCTTTTCCCACACCAGCGCTTCTCTCGCGCCGCTGCTTGGACCATGGCTCTCCTCCCCGTGGGGACGGTGGCGGTCTTCATCGTGGACGGGCACGCCCCCGCCCCCCTCTCTCATGCGCATCCTCCAGACCCGCCTGCTGGGCCTCTGCGGGTGCCTCTGGGTTAACGTCACATCTCTGAGAAGATGGAGGACCAGGCCTATGCCTCACACGAGGTGGGGTGGGGAGGTGGGAGTGGAGGGGGGGAGGGGTCTCGCCCAGGCAGGAGGTGCTGCTCAGGTGGGCCGGGATGGGAGCACGGGTACCGAGTGCGGGGTTCCCGGGGGCCCGTCTTCGCCCGACCGAAGGAGGCTCTGCCATCTGTGCTCCGAGGAACAAATGTGCCGGCACATCTCATTTAGACTGTGAGCTCGTCCCGAGCAGGCCTTGCTTTTCTCTGTGACCCCTCCACCCGTCCGTCGGGGCCAGCGTGAACGGGGGCCGGGTACCTGGCGTCTACACGTGTCTCACCAACAGCACCTTTCACGTTCCTGGGACAGGAGATGACGTGAGCGCTGGGCGCAGGTGTCCAACGCGCCTTCCGGGGACCCGTTCTGGAGAGCGGCGTCCCATCCATCCCCCACCTGGGACGGCTCGGACACGGTTGGCGAGGCGCGTTGCCGGGGGTTCTAACGCTGGTTATTGTTCCTTAGGGTGCCAAGGACTCACCCATCCGGCGGGCGGTGAAAGATACCCTTTCCAACCCCCAGTCCCCACAGCCGTCACCCTACAACTCCCCCAAACCACAACACAAGGTCACACAGAGTTTCCTGCCGCCCGGCTGGGAGATGAGGATAGCGCCCAACGGCCGGCCCTTCTTCATTGACCACAACACAAAGACGACGACGTGGGTAAGGTTGCACTCACACTTGGCCCCTGCCCTGCAGCGCGGCCCCCGGAGTCCCCCCTCCCCAGACGCTGTCCAGAGGGAGGGTCTTGGGCATCTGGGACATCCGCCGGAGCCCCGGGCGGATGCCCTGTCTTGGTAGTGCTCAGGAAAGGCCACTGCTTGGACAGGTCAAGTAGGCCAAGTCGCTCAGTGCCGGCCTTTCATTGGCCTTCGTCTCGTGCTGCACTTCCGTCCGGAACCTTCTTCTCTGTTGGGGCTATTTTCTGTTCATTCCTTTTTTCTGAATCTGTTGGCATCTTTGACTCATTTCTCATGTGGCATCTAGCAAGGTTTTACCCATTGGTGCCACCGGACCTCCCTCTGTCCTGGGCAGGACTGTGGCCGAGGGCCTGGGCCCAACCACTCAACAGCACTGTTCCGTATGTGCAGAGAATGGACATGACTGGGCCCCTTGCTCTCAGCCCGAACTCTGACATGTTGACTCACGTGAAGGCACCCCCAGGGGACCTTTGCGCCCTGGAGCCTGGAATCACGTAGTCAAGAGCGAGGGGGGGATGGGGAGGTGCCATCAGGGATGTTTCTGCTTCCAAAGCTGAGCAGGTGACGCTTTCCTTCCTGTCCTGTGTCCCCCTGCCACTTGTCTGGGGACACTTGAATTCAAGTCCTTGGGCTGTTCCTACCTGCTTAGACAGCATCTCAGGAGAGTTAGCTGGGCCGTCGTGGCAGTGCTGGGCCCTGGAGCTTGGCCTTGGGGCCTTGGGGTCAGCAGTGGATGCTCGAGGGCAGACCCTCACCCTGCTGGGTGTGTTCGCTGGCCCAGGCAGCTGTATTGTGTGGCCCAGTGCCCACCCTATCATGGACTCCGTGATTCGAGCGCTGTCTGTCCTGAAGATCCGCACATCTGTCTAGCAGGCATGGTAGAACCTAGGGCTCCTGCCCAACTTGTGTCTGTGTGGGGCTCTGGACATGCTCACCTGCTGGATACTCAGCATCCTCGATGCCTGCCCCCAAGTGCTCATGGCCTCCCTATGTCTCTGGACCCCCATCCCGGGCACCACCCACAGCTCCTCACACATGTCCCGACTCCCCCGGCCACTCTAAGCCTGTTGGCGGGTCTGTGCTCCACCCGAGTGGCCTTTGCTCACCCCCTCATTCCTTCCCTGGGCATCTGAGAGCCAAGCGCCTTGCTCTGATCCCCTTTCAGTCAGGAGAGAAGGTTCCAAGTGCACAGAGGGCAGGGTGCAAGGACGAGGTGGCAAAGCTTGTGGGGAAAACTGGAGCCCTTGCGCCTGGCTCTGAGTTTGTACTCCTCCCTGGCAGGGGCCCAGCGCTGGCCCCTTGGCACGGCCCCTCCTGTCTGCCACCACCAGACCACTACAGCAGACCCCCCACACACTTGTGTCGGGGGAGCCCGAAGTGGGGTAGCTGTCCAAGGTCGGGAGGCAGCGCCCCCTCGGCAGAGAAACACCTTCTCCAGAAGGTGCCTCCCATCCAGAAAGGGGCATATGGGGTCCCGAGTGTGGACCCTCTGCGAGCTGCGATTCCCGTCTTTCCTGCAAAGCCACTGACATGCCAGGCATCCCGTGACGGGTTTATCTCCCTGGTCCTCAAGCTCCGTCCCGCCTCACTGTGGTCTTGCCTGAATTTCAGTTGTCCCTTCTTACCTGGAAGTTGTCAGTGACCTGTTTCAGGATTCGCCCTTGCAGCGGCATGTCCTGGTGGCCACCGCGGGGGAAACACGCTTCACCAGCAGCTGGAAATCCCACCAGTTGCTCCCCTTCTCTAGTGAGCTCAGACATGCGCCCCCCCTCCCCCACCGCCATCCCTCGCCCCTGCCCAGCTGAGGGGGCCTGGTCACTTGCCTCTTGGTATGGGCAGAGGTGGAGGGAGAGATGGAACCCGCAGGAGCAGGTCACTGAAGGGCCGTTGGGATTTGCTCTGTTTCCTTGAAGAGAGCAAATGAAAGGGGACCTGGGACTCTTTTTTTTTTTAACTTGGAGTACCATTTTATTCTAGAATAATACAACATAAACTTTACATAGCTTTTTTTTATTAATTTTTATTAGTGAGACACCATGAGGTACAGTTGTAGACTTACAGATTTTTGTGCCTGGGTTTCAATTATACAATGATCAAATACCCATCCCTCCACCAGTGCCCATTTTCCATCACCACGGATCCCAGTATCCCACCCCCATCCCCCCCCATCCCACCCTGCCTCTGTGGCAGGGCATTCCCTTTTGTTCTCTCCTTTTGGGTGTTGTGGTCTGCGAAAGGGGCTCTTCTTAGACCTGAGGGTTCTGTTTCTTTCCCCACTGCATTTAAATGCTTACATGGTTTACAGAGTTGTTCGTGATGGTTTGTTGCAGGCATTCATATTCCAACCCCAATCCTACCACCACTGTCTCCGTTTTCCCCACCATCCCGCCCGCCCGTCCCCCAGCAGGCCCACCATAGCGTGTTTTATATTGCTTGTGACTACTGACTGTTTAACGGAATCATTGAAAAAATATTCCCGTAGAAGAAAATTGGTGAAAATGGTTGTGTCTCGCCATGGGGACATCAAGGCCTCGTCTGGGACTTGACTGAGCTGTGGTTGCAAGTTTAGCCCCTGTGCTCAGGTTTCGTGAGGCCAGATGGGTTGATTTCTACGTCACATCCCACCCAATCGGCTGTGCTCCTACGGGGACGTCATTGTTGCAGAATTTGGAGGTGTTGTATGGTTGCGAATGCAGATGCATGGCAGAAAATCCAGAATATTTCACTGGGCAGTCTGTGAGGCGCTGAGCATTTCATTTTTGTTTTGTTTTGTTTTGTTTTTTTGGGGGTTTTTTTTTGGTTTGTTTATTTGTTTTCTTTTTGGGTCACACCCAGTAATGCACAGGGGCTACTCCTGGCTCATGCACTCAGGAATTACTCCTGGCGGTGCTCGGGGGACCCTATGGGGTGTTGGGAATCAAACCCGGGTCAGTCACGTGCAAGGCAAATGCCCTACTCGCTGTGCTATTGCTCCAGCCCCTCTGAGCATTTTAATGGACCCAGGGGAACTTTATAAAACAGGTGGAGAATAACGACGCCTGTCCTGTCCTTACTGCAGGGAGAGTTCCAGTTGAGGAGAAAGGCCCCAGACATCTACGAAACAGACCTTTAAAACCAGTCAGGAGGGAGCATGCAGGCGGCTCGCCAGAGGGAGCCTGACCCCTGCAAGGCCACATCCCTTTGTCCCCACCTGGCCCTCGGGTCATGAGTCTTGGCCAGCGAGGCAGAGACATGAGAGCCTTCTCAGGCCCTTCCACCGTGGACGCTTCCAGGGAATGCAGAAAGCCCCAACGTGCCTTTGGTGGCACAAAACAGGGGCTGCTCTGGGTTGCAAGGAAGCAGAGACCTGGATTCAGTTCTGCTGTTCAGGTCCAAACGGAAACACACAGGGAAGCTCCAGAGAGGTGGGGGCACGGCCCTTCCCGCACAGCCTGCCCATTCCTGCTGGGCAGACCGGCCAACAGTGTGCCGTGAGGTCTTCGGCCCTACCCAGGTCTCCCATATTATGTTGTTCACCCGTATCCTCATTTGAGTCCCTCGTCAGTTTTCTAGCCTGTGTCCATCACTCCCAGGGGACCTTGCATCTTTTTGCCTGCCCCATCAGAACAGAGCCAGGAGGAAGCCCTGAGCACCATCAGATGTGCCACCCATCCCCCACCCCACCCCCCCAAAAAAAAGTGTTTGGTTTCTTTTTGTGTGTGATTTTTTTTTTTCACCTTTTAGGATACTTTCCAGTTCTTTAACTCTGCCACTCACTTCTACTCCAGAAACACGGGTGACTCTTCCCCATGGACATTTGTCCATAGCTCTTCCGAGGTGTAGCTCACGAATAGCTCGCCCACTTGAGACAGAAAATGGTTCTGGTATCTCCAAGGCCTGCAGCTGTCACCATAGTTAGCCTGGGACAGCTTCCCACGGGCCCTCCCTGCGGGCCTCAATCATCTTATCATCCAGAGGTTTTTCGTGTCTTCTGTAGCAATGTAGCACTGCCCTCCTGTTGTTCATCGATTTGCTCGAGCGGGCCCAGTAACGTCTCCATCGTGAGACTTGTTGTTACTGTGTTTGGCATATCGAATACGTCACGGGGAGCTTGCCAGGCTTTGCCGTGCAGGCGAGATGCTCTTGGTAGCTTGCCGGGCTCTCCAAGAGGGGCGGAGGAATCGAACCTGGGCCGGCTAGGCCAGCCGCATGCCAGGCAAATGCCCTACCACTGTGCTATTGCTCCAGCTGTGGATAGGAAAATTCTGTGACTTTCTAGATAGAAAATCTTCTCGGGCGGGGGGAGGGGGCAACTGTTTTCCAAGGTTTATGCCCGTTCTTTCATTCCTTGTACTTGGGAAAATACCGAGGCAGAAAGATCTTTCGGTCGTTTGACAGCAGCAGATTCTTTGGTAGAAATAAGACAGGTTCCTGGGAGGTTTACAGAGGCCGGCTGTTCCTCTGACAGGCAGGGTTTGTTTCCTGACATTTGGAACTGACGGGGCGACTCACTCGAGGACTGTGACGTGAGAGGTAGTTCCCGGCCTCCAGGGCCGGACCTCCGCTCAAGTCCTGTTCTTTCTCGCCGGCTCTTTCTGCCTCCCCCCGGGTGGCTGAGCTCCCTTGTTTGCAAGGACAAACCTTGCCCACGTTCCCCTCATCCATTCCCGGGGGTGTCTTGGGGGCTTCGACCTTTTGGTCTCAGCTCTTGCACCCCTGGATTTGCGAGCCGTCCATGGGGTTCCGATCTGCCGAACTCCATCCTGAGCTCAGGAAAGCGGGCTGGGCCGGGCCCTGTGTGCAGGGGGCGTCATCCTCACTCCATGCTCGCACAAGAGCAGGCGGACTCAGTCTCTACTGTCGCTCCGGGGGTGCAGGGATGCTGGCAGCCCTGCGTCTCCCCTGCCTCTCTCGCCCAGCACCCTTCCCCTTCTGCTGTATCCCAGAGCAGCCTCTCTGCCAGCATCTGCTACCCCACTTCTGCTCGGGGGCACCCCGAAATGGTCACCAGCCCTCCAGGTACAAAGTCTTACTCCCCGGATTCTACCAGAGCAGCCGGGAGAGCAGGCTTCTTTCAGACGTGGCCAGTCAGGCTGCCCATGCAAAGATGGGAGCCCTCCCCCGCCGCATGGACCACCCGGTGGACTCGGAACACCCAAACTGCGGATGGCCGGAGCCTGCGGCGCCCCCCCAGAGGCTCCCCCTAACACCTACCGCCTTTCACGTTTCTCTTGCAGGAAGACCCACGCTTGAAATTTCCAGTGCATATGCGGTCAAAGGCGCCTTTAAACCCCAATGACCTTGGCCCTCTTCCTGTGAGTACGCTGGACCCGTGGGTCACGGTCCTGCCGGTCTGTGCTTCCAAAGAGAGCCAGACCCACGTCTCAGGGCCCTTGTGGGTCCTGAGGGTTCCCGGTGGCCGAGGACTCGGGGCCCAGCCCTCAAGCTGGTTCCCGGTTGCCGCCACGCGCTGCCCTGGGGCTGTGACCCCGTGTTACAGTTAGCCACGGGAGTGGCAGCCGTGGGGGGGGGGGGGAAGGCCTCAGAGAATGGCAGTTTCCACGTCTCACGCCCCGATGCCCGTTTATGATGCCGACAGATCTGACCCTCCTTGGCTGATTCTCGGGCGTGGGGGTGTGGGTGAACTGTTGGCTCTATAGCGGATTGTGGTTGAAACCTGAAAGCGTCCCTCACCCTGGCAGCCGCCCTAATTAACCCTGCCAGAAGCGGGAAGGGGATTGGGGGGCGAAGAATCCAGTTCAGGCCCTTTTTAAGTGGGCGAGAGATGGGGCTGGGTGGGCAGGTGAGAACGTTCAGGCGTCAGCATCTTCCTGGTGAACAGTCTGTGAGCTGATGGTGGAGGTTTCCGGCTCTGTTCCCCGGCCAGATCTATGCTCCTCCCTCTGCCCTGAGTGTCTACACAAGAGTTGAGGCAGGAGAGCTATCCAGCACGTGGATGCCTGTGTTTGGGACAGCAGGCCGGCTCGGGGAGGTCACCTAAGACAGCTTAGCTCCAGGCAGGGCTCCCGGGCTAACTAAAGCACCTGCTCTAACACTGTGATATTAACCCGCACCCCCCCCCCACCAGCGGGTGCTCGGGGGTGCTGCCCCGGATGCTGCATGTGTGTCCCAGCTGCCCAGGGCCGGTCTGTGTTGGCTCATCATGCCCAAGGGGCACGGAGGGGACAGTGAGTGACAAAGGACCCTCGTGGTCCTGTGCGTTGCCTTGGCTTTAGGGATTGCTTGCTAATGTTTGTATTCTCTCTCTCTCTCCATCTCTCCCCCTCCTTCTCCCTCCCTTTCTCTCCATCTCGCTCTCCCTCCATCCCTCTCCCTCCCTCTATCTCTCCCTCTCTCTCTATCTCTCCATCTCTATCTCCATCTCTCTCCATCTCTCTCTCTCTCTCTTTCTCTCTCTCTCTCTCTCTCTCTGTTCCCCGCCCTGCTCCTAGCCTGGCTGGGAAGAAAGAATTCACCTGGACGGCCGAACGTTTTATATCGATCACAGTAAGTTGTCCTTGTTCTGACCCCCCAGGTGTCCTGGGGAGGGGGAGGGGCCCTGGGCATTCTCTGGCGTGGAAGATTTGTTCCCACATTCAGCTTCCAGGCAGCCTGGTTGCAAACAGCCCCAGGGGGCAGCACTCTCAGGCGGTACTGGGCACCTGACTTTGCTTTAAAGCGGCCTGCCCAGCTGCCCCTGGTTTGATCTTATGACCAATGAGTCATTTAGCCTTGGTGGCCCCTTGAGTCTTGCACTCAGTAAATGCATGCAGGGCAGGAGGGTAGGACGCGGCGCCTGGGGGAACCCCGAGAGCTCCCCGTGACCACCCCGCTACCTCCCCTCCCTTCCCGGGACCTCTCCTGCACCCCTCACACTAACCCCATGGGATTCCCTTCTGGAAATCGGAGTGCCTGTACTTCAGACTCTTGCACCAACATCTTTGGATGCACGTGGGGTTTCTCATCTCAACCGAAGGTCAAACTCCGAAAGACCGGCCTTGAGCCAGTGAGGTTTTTCATTTTGTCTTTCTATTTTGAGGCTCTGTTTTTCTTCATGGAATTCTATAGCCCTGAAAAAATTGTCTGGGGATAGGGGGAGTAGGTTACAATGAAATCTTCAAATAGATTTAAAAGTTGAAACCATCCATGCGGCTTGGTAGTTCGTTGGGGTTCTTTTTTTTTTTTCTCTTTTCGTCTTAAAATGTTTCTTCAGTTAAACATTTAAAGGTGGGTTTGTTGTTTTTATTCTTGGAGCATGTGTAAATTTGAGGGGTGCAAAGTCCCCACAGCCCACTATGCCAGTCTCTGTCCATCACTGCCCAGAAGCCCTTTACACCCCACCCTGACTAACTCAGTCCTGGCACTGGTGTCTGAAGTTTGTCTTCATGCACCTAAGGATGCCATATTTTTATTTATTTATTTATTTATTTATTCTTTTTGGGTCATACCCGTGCAAGGCAAATGCCCTACCCGCTGTGCTATCGCTCCAGCCCCCTATATCCTACACTCTTGATCCTTTTCCCGCATCCATCATTCTAACACCACACCCGTCCTGAGAGAGCTGCTTCTCTCCACCAGTGCCCAGGGGCCCTTCCCACCCATCCCACTGCCCCACAGACGAACGCTTCGTCTATGAACAAAATCTCTTCCCAGTGACTTTGGCAATGAAACGGAACATCTTAAAGATAAAAAGCGAGGGTAGGACCAGCAAGATAGTATGGGAACAAAGGTCCTCGAGGGTCTTGCAGGGAGTCCTGCAACACCACATATGGTTCCCCTGAGTGCCACCACAAGTGATCCCTGAGCACCTCCAGGTGTGGCCCAAATCACCCCCCACAAGTGTGTGTCAATTCAAAAGTTCTAAGAAATGGACCACCCCCCACCCTGGGTCACACTACCCACTGTACTATCTCTCCAGCCCCTAAACATGGGATTATTACCCTCTCCCTATGCCTCTATGGCAGGCACTTTTTTTCTCTCAATTGATTCTTAATTGAAAGCATTTTTTTACAACATTAGCAAAGAAAAAGCATGTAAGGAAAAATTAATTGCATTTGTTAACTTTGTTGGGGACTTAAGACTTCTTATGCTTTTTTTTTTTTTTTTTTTAGTTAAAAGAAAATCAAAGTCAGGGTCTAAGTTCTTCCAAAACCAGTGTTTCGTGGTCAGATCCTCAGATTACTTTCCCAGAGCAGTAAGACTAGATGCTTTGACTATAGTCGTGCACTTTGACCTGAGGGGTTTAGGGGTGCTGTTCACCACCACGCATATCATTCTCTTCTAGCCCCCAAATATCAAGTTACTGATCTCTGAGACCCAGAGTCGGGGGTGGGGGGCTGGACACCTTATAAAGAATCCAGGGATCATTCTTTCTAGAATATTCTTGACCCAGTAGAGACCTGCATGATGATACTGATTTCTTTCCTTTGTTTTGCACTTTCAGATAGCAAAATTACTCAGTGGGAAGACCCCAGACTACAGAACCCAGCCATCACCGGTCCGGTCAGTATCCTCAAGTTCTGCCTCTGCAGTAGAATGTTTGGTGGCCACTGAACATGCGTTTCTTGTCTGTTACTCTTAGGTCGGTGCCACGATCATCTTTCCTCCCTCTGTTGTAATGAGCAGGTCCAGTTGGCTCCCCGGGCCCCCATCTGGGAGTGCAAGTGGAGCTGGGGCACAGCTGCGTGTCTCACCTTCCCCACTGGGAAGGAGAGGCAATGGTTAGCTCATGGTAGCCAGATAAAACCTCTCCTTCTTCCCTTTAGGAAAGGGAGGCTCCAAAGTACACCCATTGGAATGCCCGCCCTTTCTTGTATCATGCCAAGCCCTGGATGATACAGGTCTTTATTATAGACCCAGGGAAGTCAAGGCAGCCCAGTCAGGATGCTCTCCCAGCCCTAAAATTCAGCAGAGGTGTGGGTGAAGTGACTGTGAACCCCCGGAGCGTTGTGAGCCTGTCCCTGGGCAGCTGTGCCCACCGCTCAGAGGACAGGGAGGGAAGGAAGTGGCTGGGGTGAGGGCATAGGAACTGTGATGGGGAGCTCCGTACCACACCCCTGTCACTGAAGCAAAACCCCCGTCTTGCATCAGAGAGAACCTCAGTTTCCACACACTCCCCAGAAGGAGGCTGTGGGGTAGGGCCTGGCCCACTGGCCAGGCCAGCACTGCGTCTCCTGACCATAGTCAAATGTATGGAAGGCAGGTGATGACTGAAGAGTATTAGAAACGGGAGGTAGGAGGCATTCCACCAAGGGCCAAAGGCTGTGTGGCCAGCAGAGAGAGTTTACATACTGATTTGCAGTTTGTAAACTTGCATCTGATTCAGTTCACATTTTGTTTGAAATTACAAAGTTCAGATGCACCTTCGCACCTTGACGCCTGGTTCCCCCTCCTGTGGTCAGCTTGACTGGGGATAGGATGAGTCCCAGGGCTACAGTATCCTCCTCATGCTGGCTTCAAAGAGTCAGCTACTCATTCCCTACCACCCCCTTACACTTTATATAAACATTGGTTTACAACGTTGTTCATGACGATTCGTTACAGGCATTCTATATTCCAACACCAATCCCACCACTGTTACACCTTCCCTCCACCATTGCCTTCAATTTTCCCAACCACCCCTTAAGCCTGCCCTCATAGCAGGCCCTCAGTAATTTATTTTATATTGCTTGTTATCAATAATTTGCTAACAGAATGATCAAAAATAATTCCTTAGAAGAAAGTTAGTGAAGATGGTTCTATCTCACCATGGAGCCATTAAGCTCTTGTATAAGAGATTACTAAGATATTGTTACAGGTTAAGCCTTCTGTGTTTATATTTTGTTAATAGAGATTGGTTGCCTTCTACATTACATCCCATCCAGTCCGGTGTACTGCTCCTGGTTTATCAGTGCTATAGAGTTTGGTGTGTTTGTGGCTGCAAATGCGACCGCATGCTCCAGGAAGTTCAAAATTTTTATCGGGGTGATCCAGCTGAAGTTAAATTTTTAACTGGGTGGCACAGTCAGCTACTCTTGAGGGCTTAAAAGTCCCTGTCCAAGATAGGCACTATCACAGCAAGGCACTGGAGTAGTGTTTTTCTCTTTTCCATCACGAGAAACAAGAAAAAAAATTCAAGACCCAATTTTCAACGGCTTTCCACTGACAGAAGACATGAGACTTACGAAGCTCAGTTTCCAGTATTTTATGATGGATTGATGATCTGCCTTCACTCAAATCCTGGTTTCACTACTTTCGGATAAAGGTTTAGTCCCATAAATCCAGTCAGTCCTACCCCCAGAAAGACCGCTGGTTCTTTGTTTTCTGAAGAACCCTCGTCTGCTCTTATATTATCAGTGGTATTTCTTCCAGTTAAATGTGATTTAGGTATTCATTGACTGAGTGTAGACATCTGTCCTTTGTTGCTGTTCAGTTCTAAATTTTGGTCATTTCCTTAAGGGTTTCTCCCCTCATCTTGCTTTTTTAGTTCCTAGGAGTATGGGATGGCTTTTGTCCATCCTTTTCTTCCTGGTTTCTAACAGTATTGCCTTGTATCAGAGCATATTTTCTGTGAAGTATCGATGATGAAATACTTGAAACTTCCTTGGGGACTTGGCCATCTTTGTCCATGTTCTATTTTGTTTGTATTTGAGAAGCATGTGTATTCTCTGTTAGTTTGGAGGTTCTTCATGTGTTCAATATGTTAAGCTTGCAGTGGCCAAATTATCCATTTATTACTGGGTGTCCTCCCCTCTGACAGTTTCAGCACCATCCTTATTGACATGAGGCTCTTCCGTGTGAATTGCAACTCTCTGTCATTTACTTTCCCTTCGTCCTGTTGGCCCACTTTGTTGATAATGTCCCTTAGCTTGCTGTGTTCTTTCTCGTCTCTGTTAGATTGAAAGGATGCTCTATTGTTTTCTGTGCTTGTTTAGAAACTATTTTCTGTCTCTGTTCTTAAAGTGCTTCCATTAAAATTTGTAGCCAGCATCCTCCTTGCCTTCGTGTTCAAATTGACCACTCCAACTTACTTATCCTTCTGGATAACAAACAACTTTAGGTAACTTGAGTGCCATTTTTTTCCCCACCCCTGTTTTACATTGTCGCTAAAAGCTACTTTACCTTGAATCATTACAGATAGTCTTTAAGAACCTGTCTTATTTCTCTTTTCATTGTACTCGTGTAGAAACACATTCCTTCGCCACCAGTGAGTTCCTGCATCCCCTTGCTTCTAAGTCTCCCTCTTCATGAAGTCTGGCCATAAGTTCAGGGTTCTCAAAGTGTGTGCCTGGAGCATCAGGACCATCCAGAAATTTGTTAGAAATTCAACTCTAACAATTAATGGGCCATCCAGGGGGTCCTGGTGTTCATTCTGGTCTGCCCCATCTGTGAGAAGCAAAGAGGAGCCAGGAGGACCTGTTTGACCCTCTGTTCAGTGAGGTTAGCAGATGGCATTCTTGGTGAGCGCTTAAATTCTTTCCACCTTTTGGTGATACCTGTTGCTGCCCTCTGACCTCCACTAGTGGGAAAGAAAAGTCATTGCAGCCTAGTGGCCCTTTCTGGTGCCCATGATACATCTGTATTGCCCCATGACTATTAACACTTCTCTGCATCCTGATGCTCTGTAGTTTGACCCTCATGGGTCCTACATGCAAGGCTTGCTTTGTCCTTATTCTGCTTTGGACTTGGGATGCGTCCTCTCCCATTCTAGAAAATTCCTTGCAGTTACTGTCACATGCTACATCTCTCTTGTTATTTCCGATTCCCTGTGTCGGTTAACTCCCTTTGGGGTATAGATTCACTCTCACATATGTCTTCTTCATCTACGTACTTCTGTTTTCTGCCTGGTTGCTGCCCTGTGGTCTTGAGCCTTCTTGTTTGTTCTGGAAGCTCTAGAGAGTCTACACATTACCGATTCACTTGGCTGTGACTTTGGTTAGCTGCTGAGAAGTTCTGTTTGGACAGCTAACATGTGGTTGTTGTTATCTGTCTGCCCCATTATATTTTTACTCGTACTTCCAACTCTATGCTTAACAGGTTTTTTTTTAAATAGCCTCTTCTGGATTATTTGTTTTGGTTTTTGTTTCTGGGCCATGCCTGGCAGTGCTTGGGGGTCTGCTCCTATTTCAGTGCTCGGGGTGCTCTGGGGACCATGCAGTGCTGGGGATCAAGCCCAGGGCTCCGGCATGGGAAGCCGATGCTCCAGACCCCTCCCCCCCAGCACTCTCCCCAGCCCCCACTCTTCTCAGTGTCCCGAGAGGCATCCAGTCTCGCTGTGTCTGGAGACTCTCCTCGGTGTGTTGTTTCATTGCTGAGTTCAGTTGTGTGTGTGTGTGGGGGGGGGGAGGTGTGCACACACACATGTGTGCATGTGCATGCCTGCTGGCGTCTGTGGGGTATGTGTGTACCCGTCTGCTTGTTCCCTCCTCTGGGGTGTTCCTCAGTCCTGACCCCGTATTTCCTGTTAATTCCGCGATGTGGGTTCACGGACCCCAGTCAGTGTGACCGACTCCCGCGCCCCGTGGTGGAGCCTGGAGTGGGCGTTTATTACAGATCTCTTTCTTTTGTTTCTCTCCCCCTCTGTCCTGGACAGAAGGTAAGCCTCCTCGCACCTTGCGCGCAACAGCGGGCAGCTTCCCAGTCCCCTCGCAGGTGCGGTTCCCTCATCACTGGCTCCCCGGCTCATCCACGCCGCAGGCCAGGCTGTCCCCAGAGGGACGCACGAGCTCTCGTGTCCAGGGCCAGTGCCCGTCTCTCCACACCCACTTTCCCTCTCTCCCTCTCTCCCCCCAACCCCCTCTGTGTCTCTCTCCCTCTCTCATCTCTCTCTGTCTCTGTCTGTCTGTCTCCCTCTCTCTCTCGTTCTGTTTCTCTCCCTTTCTCATCTCCCTCTCTCTCTCCCTCTCTCTGTCTCTGTCTGTCTCTGTCCCTCTCTCTATCTCTCTTCCTCTCATCCTCTCTCTCTCCCTCTCTGTCTCTCTGTGTGTCTCTCTCCTCTCTCATCCTATCTCTCTCTTCCTCTCTCTCCCCCTCCTTCCTTCTAGCCCCCTCCTCTCTCTCTCTCTTGCTCTCTCTCCCTTTCCCTCTCTCACCCATTCTCCCCATTCTTTCTATCCTCCCATCTCCTCCCCTCTCTCCCTCTCTCCCCCCTCTCCCTCCCTCTCTCTCCCCGTCCCCCTTCCTGTAGCAGCTCTGCACAACATCACACCCATTGTCAGTCCACTGTCACGTGTCGCCACCGAGCATCGTTCCGTGCTGTAATGCATGTGGCGCTCAGGGACACCATCTCATGCTTGTGTGACGCTTTGTATCTTGCCGAGTATTCTGTGGTCAGCTGCTGGGCACTCCCAGCAGCCCCCTCAAGAAGGCAGGGAGAAGGGGACTCAGGAAGCTCCTCGTGCCACCCCCGTGCTCCTGCCAGAGCCAGGCCTGGGTGTGTCGGCCTCACCAGGGCACCCACGCCAGGCCTGGGCCCTGCCCTCCAGGTGCGCCCATCTTCACTGGGCACAAAGACCATCTCAAGCCAGTGACACAGCGGCGGGTCAGCCTCCTGTCCATAGGCCTGTTTTGTACAGAAAGAAGTGTCTCGTCTTCTCCTGTGTTTTCTGAGCTAGACTGTGACTCAGGCACAGCCAGATTTTTAAGAGAATCCCCACCCACGTCCTTGTGTCCGGCACTGCACCATGTGGTCATCTCGGTCTGCAAACACCGCAAAAGGAGGACATGGAAGCACGTTCCTAGGCCCAACCTGCGGCGTCCGAGGCAGAGCAGAATGCAGGCCGAGTCCCTGCTCCCCGCAGCCCCACAATAGTTTTAAAACTGGAGAAAAAAAAAACAGAAACAAAATCCCCTTTTCCATCTCAAGAACTGCCTCTGGAGCGTACAGGTAAGTTCTGGAGAGTGACAGTGACATCCCGGCCTTCACACGGCCCTGTGCAGAGGCAGCAGGACGCAAGGGGTCCCGCCGCTCCCTAGGACTCCTCCTTCGGGATCCACAGGGGGTCCTCAGCGGGGCAGCCCTCCCAGGCCGGGCCACCCTCACCCACTTGCTCCCCGGCACCATTTGCCCTGCGCGAGGCCTACGGAATTCATCTCTGCTGGTGGTTCAAGCTGTTTATTTCGTTTCAATATTTGCTGGTGGGCAGCAGGGGTACAGACACACTAAAAGAAAAAAATGATGGCTGTGACTCGCTCAGTTTGGGAATGGGTGCACTGCAGAGCCTTGTTCAGTCAGACCCTCCTGCTGACCGAGGAAGTGCCCAGACCGACAGGTGACAGCACAGCTTCCGCCCAAAACCCCGCCCTGGACGTCGGCTCTGGGACACTGATGCGAGCACCGGAAGGAGCCCTGTGTCCAGCCTCGGCACATGGGCACTGGCCTACCGCCCTCCCTCCTGAGCTGTCGGTCCCCGCCCTGCTCCTGCCGCCACTCAGAGCTGCCATGATGCTCTCAGTCCTCCATCAAACCGAAGGGACACAGGCAAAGGGAACTTGGGCTTCTGCGACAACCTTTTCCCAGGCCCCAGAATGCTGGCCACGGAGTAAATGTTCAAGAGTGACCTGAACAAGTCAGCAAACGAACTGCCAAAAAGAAAAAACTTGAACTAGATCTTATTATGTATTTTATTTATTTATTTATTTTTTTTTAGCCACTCTGGTGCTGCCAGGGATGGTCCTGAAATCTTAAGTTCGTTGAAGGATATAATTTCCATCAGTCTGAATGCCACAAAACTCTCTTAATTGGATGGTTGCAGGATGTGGTGTCATTTCTCTTATCTTGGTGGTAACTGACAACATCTCTGCCTTCAGAATTCGCACACGATTTCACCAGACTACTCAGTACCCAGACTAAAGACACTCAGTGGTCAGGTCTCGTGAAAACTGACTGGAGATTATGACTTAGAAACCTCGAGGGAGCCTCTGGGGAGTAGAAACGGCCTTCAGAGCCTCTTCAGGTAGATCTGTGTGACACCATCAGTGGCTGCTCAGTACCATGACAAACCCTACGTGACAACTGTCACCTATGAGGGTGATGACTTCTGTTCTGGCCTGGTGGTTGTTAGTTGTGTCTTATAACAGAACAAAGGCAGGAGGCTCCTGGTCTCCACGTCTCCTCTCTCCGCTCCACAGAGAGCCTGGTGAAGTGGAAAATGCGGAGACAGTGCTCAGGGTGGAGCACTTACTTCACCCACGCGCCGCCTGTCCTCTCAGACCCACACTCCGTGCCTGATTTTTTTCTGCGTACGCAGCTGCCAGACATCACTGTTTGACTTGGGGGCGCTGCCAACTCCTTTCTGCTCCTTAAACCCACTGTACTTCGTGTCAGTAACCTGCATTCGGGCCTCTGGCTCTTGGATGTTGTCAAAGGCCAATGCTCTGTAACCTAACACGTGAGGAGAACCCACGAGGCAGTGTCAGGCTGCAACCCTTTGCCTAAAGAGACTCTGGGGCCTTTGAATGCCAGCAATTAGCTCAGACCCTGGGCCCAGCCCTGTTCCAGCTTAAGCCCCAGGCAAAATCCAAGTTGAAGACTTCTGAGTGCCGTCTGCCTGCCTCTATGTTTCTGGACAAGAATATCAGTGTTTGGGTCTTTGCGCTCACATTGTCTCTCTCAGCGATTTGAAAGCCTGATTACTCTCCAAATGAGGCAGAGTTCATCTGGGGTCAGATGTGCAAGTGTCATAGCCAGTGGCTCTTACATAAGGTTTCCACCCTGTCTCAGACGCAGATAAAAATCACACGGAAAGTGTCTTTAAGCCTTAGTGACTTGGTGAAGGTCAGTATAGTTTTCAGGAGTGAGAGCCCGTTACTAGAAATTTCCAGCCTTCTCAGTAGATGTTATGTACATTTCAATGAGGGAGAGTCTCGGGGCTGTTGGATTCATTAAATTCTCTGAGTACTGCTGAGCATGTGTAGAACGCCTTACTTACGCATTACTTATCTCAACACCTTTATCTTCCAGGCTGTTCCTTACTCCAGAGAATTTAAGCAGAAATATGACTACTTTAGGAAGAAATTAAAGAAACCTGTGAGTAGCACATCTTCCCCCAGATGCTGTTCCGTGAGCTGTATGTGCATGACCTGGGACCTCAGCGAGAGTAGTGTGGGTTTTTGTGTGTGTGTGTGTGTGTGTGTGTGTGTGTGTGTGTGTGTGTGTATGCATGTTTACTAAGAATATTGTGTTCCGGGGCTGGAGCAGTAGTACAGTGGGTAGGGCATTTGCCTTGCACACCACCGACCCGGGTTCAATCCCCGACATCCCAAATGGTCCCCCCAGCACCGCCAGGAGTTATTCCTGAGTGCAGAGCCAGGAGTGACCCCTTAGCATCACCGGGTGGGACCCAAAAAAGCAAAAAAAAAAAAATGAATATTGCATTCCTTTCTCCACTGCACATGATCCACCTGTATCTTTAGTCTGACTTTTCAGTAGAAACAGCCCATGAAGCGTAACTTAGTATTACACAGTCAACTACCAAAGGGAAATTCCCACAGGATTTTTTAAAATATGATTTGAGGGACTGTGATTCACCGTTACTGTCCCTGGCAAGGTTTCATGCATGTTCCCCAACCCCACACCCTCCATCAATATCTCTGCCTCTCACCCCATCATGAGGGGCTCGGTCCCCCCAAGCCACCCCCTCCATCAATGCCAGCTCCCCCTCCCTGCTGGGGTGACTCAGTGCTCTAAACTGTTTCTCTTTTCTGTCATTTCTGTGGTCTCATTTGTCATTGCTTTCTCAATCCCATATCGGAGACATAATATGATTCTTATGGGATATAAAATCATTTGGGACCTGCTTTTGGAAAAAAAAAAATCTGGAGAAACCTTATAGCATGCATGGTAGGGATGCTGTTGAATTCAGACCAGATAGATGCTTACCAGAAAAGGGCTCAGGGGACTGGAGCAATAGCACAGCAGATAGGGCATTTGCTTTGCATGCGGCTGACCCAGGTTCAATTCCCAGCATCCCATATGGTCCCCCAAGCACCGCCCGGAGTAATTCCTGAGTGTATGAGTCAGGAGTAACCCCTGTGCATCGCCGGGTGTGACCCAAAAAAGGGGAGGAAAAAAGGGTTCAAGTCCATCCCTTCCAGATCCAGAAGCGTAGTTTCCGTGATAAGATTTCTAGCCATCAGTGTTTCTTAATCATCTGGTCCGGTGTATGGGACCCACAGGTAAATTTTTGATTAGAATTCTCCTTAAAGGCACTGATGAAACGGAGAAACCAAATAAAGTATCTGTGGGTGGGCCTTAGGCCCTCCATGTTTCCCACCAAGACGTGCCCCCAGTTCTTTTCCCAACATCGTCTCCTCCTTTTTCCTCTCATCTCCCCCAGTCGTGCAGGTTTGGCATTGGCATAGGTGCCACCTCCTGGTTCTGCCTATTCCCCACTCCGGCCCGGTCACAGAATATCTGGGGCACGTGGCCACCATGCTGCGGGTGACCCCTGCCCCTCCCGGCCCCTTGGTGGAGGAAATGCTTTCTGGGCTCTGTACCCTGAGCTGCCTCTGACCTGCTCCTCCCACCTCTGGGGCTTCCAGAAGCCACTCTGGAAAGTCTCGGCTCTGAGCGCTCCCCTGGGCTCTTGACGAGTGTCCTGCTTTTCCCACCCCCAACCCCACGTCCCCCCTGCCCACGCCCATACAGGCGGGTTTTCTGCAAGATGCCGCATCATGGAGGTGACATGTGTCTTTGCCCTCCTCCGCTCTTCTGCAGGCCGATATCCCAAACAGGTTTGAAATGAAACTTCACAGAAACAACATATTCGAGGAGTCCTACCGGAGAATCATGTCTGTGAAGAGGCCCGACGTCCTCAAAGCCAGGCTGTGGATCGAGTTTGAGTCGGAGAAAGGCCTGGACTACGGAGGCGTGGCCCGGGAGTGGTTTTTCCTGCTGTCCAAGGAGATGTTCAACCCCTACTACGGGCTCTTTGAATACTCGGCCACGTAAGTAGATGCACATCTAACCCGTACCCCCACCCCCAACTCCACCAAAGGAGCAGCGTCAGGCCAAATGAGGGCCAAAGGTCTGGAAAGAGACAACAGAAAGGTGTTGGCCTTGTACACAGCCCACCTGAGGGTTTTTGGTTTTTTTTTTAATTTAACTTTATTATTTTTGTTTTGAATCACCATGAGATACAATTACAAGCTTTCATTTGTGAGTTTCAATCACACAATGATCCCTCCACGCCCATCCCTCCACCGGTGCACATTCTCTACCACCAATGTCCCCAGTATACCTTCCCTTTCCCACCTTCACCCTGCCTCCACGGTAGACAATTTCCCCCATACTCTCTCTCTACTTTTGGGCATTATGGTTTGCAATACGAATACTGAGAGGCCATCATGTTTGGTCCTTTATCTACTTTCTTCACACATCTCCCATCCCAACCGATCCCTCCAACCATCATTGACTTAGTGATCCCTTCTCTATCCCAGCTGCCTTCTCCCCCAGCTCATGAAACAGGCTTCCAACTATGAGCCCACCTGAGTTTGAACCCCAGCACCCCAGACCATACCCCAGGCACCACCAGGAGTGAGCCCTAAGCCCAGAGCCAGGTGGAAGCCCTGAGCATCCCCAGGTGTGGCCCAAAGGGGTTTGCTCACTGGAAATGCGTTCGGTCCCCTGTGCGTCTGGAGCAATGTGATGCCCTGGTGACATAACCTGACCTTCCCGAGATGCTGGTGTGCCCGAGCCTGCTTTTCTGAGGGCTCCTGGCATGTCACAGTGGTGAGGAACAGAGGGCGTTCCCCTCACAATGTGACATGCGCCCAGGGGGAGACTGGTCACGGTCCCCACTCAGAACATCCTCACTGCCCCTTGAGCATGAGGAACGTTCTGGAGCGAGTTGGTGCTGATGGCAGGAGGGGCCTGAGCAGCCCTCCCTCGGAACAGGCCAGCCAGGACCCCCACATCTGGGCCTCGTCATTTTCACACTTAAGACGAGGCCAGTGCATCGCTTCCTTGGGAATCCGGCCCCGATTAAGTGGGAGAAAGGGCTGGACTAAGGGAGGCGTACCACCAAGAGTCACTCCTCTAGGCTGAGGCTCCCCGGAGGCCCCACAGCATTGGCCCACCTATGGGCGGCACCCCCAAAGGCCTCTGCCATTGCCCCCAAGGGCCTGGCCAGCCTCAGTCGGCCCTCAGGGTCGCAGTGCCTGAGGGTGGCCCAGTGTCTGTGCCACGTGAGAATCTCATTCTGCAAAACAGAAACACTGAGGTGGAGGCAGGGATAGAGGCAAGACTTCCCAGAGGTGCCCCAGAGGGGACCACCCGGGGGATGTGATTTGAGGCCCACTGAGCCTCCAGATTCTGAGACTGGAACCACGTAACGTGTCCACGCACCGAGCCTGGCGCTGTGGACGTGTCCTCGTGCTGCTGCTGTGTGGACTGAGCACTGGTCATGGGAGAAGCCTGAGTCCCCCCCGACACCGTCCTCGGGAAACCCTCCCCCCATTCCTCACAGTGCTGGCAGCTCCAGGACTTGGGGTGCAGCCTCTGTATACCCGTCTTTGTAGTGAAGAAGCCGCCACTAGGCTTTCCAGGGGAGCGTCCTAGGATAGGGGATGCCCAGGCAGAACCACCCGTGGCACCAGCTCTCCCCTCTCGTGGCAGACACCCCCAAGCAGAGGCTGCTGCAGGTTCTCGAGGCTCTTGTTTAAAATGCAGGGGGGCGGCATTGCCTCTTTTGCAAACCACAGCACCCAAAAGGAGAGAGAGAACAAAAGGGAATGCCCTGCCACAGAGGCAGAGTGGGGAGGGGGGGTGGGAGGGATACTGGGATCCGTGGTGGTGGGAAATGGGCACTGGTGGAGGGATGGGTACTTGATCATTGTATAACTGAAACCCAAGTACAAAAATTTGTAAGTCTACAACTATACCTCATGATGTCTCACTAATAAAAATTTAAAAAATAAATAAAATAAAATTCAGGGGGTCGGGAGCCAGGGCAATGGTACCATGGGTAGGGTGCTTGCCTCGCACACAGTCGACCCAGGCTCAGTCCTCAGCACCTCCGTATGGCCCCCAAGTCCCACCAGGAGTGAGCCCTGAGCACAGAGCCAGGAGTACAGCCCTGAGCATCCACAGGTGTTGCCCAAAATAATATGGATGGTGGCGGGGAGGCAGAGAGGTAGTACCGCGGGTAGGGTGTTTGCCTTGCACACGGCCAACCCAGGTTCGATCCCCAGCACCGTACATGCTCCCCTGAACCCTGCCAGGGGTGATTCCTGTGTACAGAGCCAGGAGTAACCCCTGCGCATCCAGCAGTGTGTCCTAAGATAAAATAAAATGGAGCTTTTTTTTAAAATCTCTCTCTCTCTCTCTCTGTCTCCCCCACCAAAGGGACAACTATACGCTTCAGATCAATCCCAATTCGGGCCTGTGCAACGAGGACCACCTGTCGTACTTCACCTTCATCGGGAGGGTCGCCGGGCTGGCCGTGTTCCATGGGAAACTCCTGGACGGTGAGTGATGCACCTCAGAGCAGCAAGTGGCTGCCCTGTGGGGCCCGGAGCTCAGCGGGAGCTTCTCCCTCCTCGACAGCCCCTAGCCACGGCTGCCCGGAACAGAGGCGGTTTCCGCGCTCTCATCTGGGTCCGAGCTCTGGAGCCAGATGTCTCCCCACTCTTTTCCTTTATTTTCCTTTTTTTTTTTTTCTAACTCATGTGACACTCAGCGGTCTCTGTGCCCGCACCTTTTTTGATTCCAGAGCTAGGCCTGGTGACATGGCAAAGCCCATTGAAAGCTTCTTTGACGCGGTCATATCCATCCACTGCTGTGAGTGACCTTAGAGCAGGGCCACAGCCCAGCAGAGCCCAGGTCAGGAGGCTCTCGGCTGGTGAGGAGTGTGGGGGTCGCTGAACGTTCCCAGAGGGCCCGGAGTCAGACCCCTCTCCGGCTTTGTCTCTACAGAGGTTCCCAGGCTGCTTTGGGCTTATACCTCTTTCCAGAAAAAAAAAATCCCTCAGCACCCCTAGAATATGCCATCTTGACAATATGGGGTGCCGGGAATCGAACCCTTGTTGGCTGCATGCGAGGCAGGTACCCTGCCCACAAGCCCATTGGCTCTGTGGACGTCACGTGAGCATCCTTCTGCTTGCAGGCGGGGGGGTCAGGCCATGGGGTGTGGCCTCCTAGAAGTCAGCCCGGTGAGCGGGCCTTCCTGCTCACTGCAGGGAGACGCCCCAGCTCCGGAGAGCAGCCCAGCATGGCTGGCACTGGGCGTGCCCTCAGAGAGCAGAGGGAGCTGATATCCCACCAAGGATGGACCCAGAGGGGCTCTGTGGAGGAAGCAAGTTAGGGTGCAGGAGGAGCTGGGAGGGGGGTCCCAGCAAAAACTCAGGGGTCCCAGCTTCAGTGGGAGTGGCTGCCTGGAGTCACCTGCAGGTGTGCGGACACTACCCAAGGTCCTAGGGTCACCTGCAGGTGTGCGGGCACTGCCCATGGTCCTGGGGCCACCTACAGGTGTGCGGGCTCTACCATGATCCTAGGGTTACATGCAGGTATGTGGGTAGTGCCCATGGTCCTGGTGTCACCCTCAGGTGTGTGGGCACAGCCCAAGGACCCAGGCCTTTCACCTGTGCCCCTGCCCCCAAGGGTTTGGATCCACAGCCCAGAGGGGTGTAGTGTAGAAACTGCCCTGGGCCCCCAAGCCTCCTTTGGGAGGTCTCACTCTGCGTCATGCAACCCCACTGAACCTGACCCCACCACTTGTGGCTCCATCTGTCCCCCTGCTCTTCTCCCATTTGTTGCTGCTTGAGTAGCAGGCCTGGTGGGCACTGGCTGTCCCCAGACCCCAGACCCCTGCCCATGTCCTGTGTGCTTTCCTGGCCCTCCCCTGCCCGGCTGTGTGGGCAGAGCCTGTTCCCCGCCACGTCAGCACCAGAGGCTGCTGCTTCCCGGAGCCTTGGGCCGTTTCTGCCATCTCAATTCATGCCCCTGCCCTCCTCACTGAACCCCGCCCCCCCCCCCAGAACTATTCCAGGCCTCTGTCTGCTTGGGGGCCCATGGGAGGTCTTCAGATGTTCCATCCTATCTGCCCTCCGAACCCAAGGCTGGGGGCCAGGGCGATGCTCAAAGGGCTGAGCCCTGGCTGTGCCTGCAGACTCGGGGCCCAGTACTGGGACTACAGGGTCTCCGAGCTCGGAGGGACTCAGTCCCCAGGACTACGGGGTCTCTGAGCACGACTGGGTCAGTCCCCAGAACCACGAGCATCCCCCGGCACTACTGAGTGTCCCAGCAGCAAACCCGGAGCAGAATCTGTCTGCTCGTTGCCTCAGAGCTGAGTCGAGCCCTTCTCCTCAGGCTTCTTCATCAGACCGTTTTACAAGATGATGCTGGGGAAGCAGATCACGCTGAACGACATGGAGTCCGTGGTGAGTGACGGTGCAGGAACGGCAGCAGGGGGGTCGCACACGGAGGGGCCCGGGTGATGGCACGAGGGTCTCACTCGGCGTGTCAGGCAAGGAGGGCTAAGACATCACAGCCTGTCCTTGGTGTTCCTCGTGGCTTTAATCCACCAGGTGTGGTTCACGCTTCCTGGCATGATGGTGGGACAGCGCTCAGGCCTCTGCCTGCCCGGGCCTGGTGTGAGTAGTGAAGGCCCACAGCCACCTGAATATCCCAGAAGGCTGTGTTCGTACACATGTACACACAGCATGTACAGAGGCACGCATATATAGACATGCACACACACATACACAGCATGTACAGGACACACATATACTGACACATAACATGTACAGAGACACATGTGCAGGCATGCACACATGCATACACAACATACACGTAGACATGCATATACTGGCACGCACACACGCTGCACACACAGCATGTACAGAGACACATATACAGGTATGCACACATGCATACACACAGCGTGTACAAAGACACACAGGCACACACACATGCATATGCACACATGCACAGAGGCTCATACAAGTGCATATAGACATACAATAGATGTGTGTACAGGCATACACACATGCACACGCACATATACATGGACAGAGCTGCATATACACGCATATACATACACAGACATACAACAAACATGCACATAGAGGCATATGGACATATGCATACATACATGCATGAAGGCACAAACACACACAACCAAGTGTGCCCAGAGACGCACGTACACACACAATGCACACAGATATGCGTGCCCATGTACACTGACATGCATGCACATACATGCAGAGAAGAACAGTGAACCAGCAGGGGGCCAGGAGTCTCTCCAGAGGGAGGGGCTGTGCGGCGTGGCGCTTCCTTGGCCAACCACCCGAGAGCCGGAAGGAGTTCTGTAGGAGTCAGGTTCTTCACCACACTCCTGGATCATGTTTTACTAATGTGACAGGCCCCTTCCACCTGGTCCCCACTTGGTGGGTGGAGGGGGGTCTCTCTGTCAGCCTGCACAGTGCTGCTTCCTTGCTTCATCCCTCCACCCTGGACGGTCTGAGACGGTGCCCATGCCTGTGGGGGACTGGCCCAACGGGGGACAGGCAGGGGACTCCCACTGATGGTGGGCACAAATCCACATGCTTGTTTATCTGGCTGAGTGCGGTCCGCACCCAGTGCCCTGTGTCTGCGGCGGGTGCCTTCTCTCCTATGCCCAGCTGCCATCACTGCACACTGAGGATACAAAGGCCGCAGACATCTCTGAACGTCTCGGTTCTGTCCATGCTGCCCTAATAGGGTCCCCGGGCCTGAGGATACTCATATGTCTGGGCCCTTTGTGGGGATGGTATTGGGAGAGCTTAGGAAAGGGGCCCTTCTAACAGGGGGCAGCGTGGGTCTCAGGCCAACTGGGAACTGCCTCTGTGGTTAGCGTGACAGGGTGATATGCAGATATTGAGGGACAAGCCTCAGGCCTGTTTCCGGCATCATTCCTGCAGGACAGCGAATATTACAACTCTCTGAAATGGATCTTAGAGAACGACCCCACGGAACTGGACCTCATGTTCTGCATCGATGAGGAGAACTTTGGACAGGTAGGGCTGGCCCAGCCCGCAGACCCCCAGGCTTCATGACCAGCTCCTGGTACCAGCCCCCCAAGTGTCACCCAGACCCCAGTGCCGGACCAACAGCACGTCCAGGCCCCGCGCCAGGGGTCACTCCACCCCCTCTCCCCTGAACCTGTCCCATCAGTGGTCGCCTTCCCATTCTGCAACTCCTGGAGAACCTGTCAGCTCTGGGACAAGACCACCTCAGTGCTGTGACTGGCTGGCAGGGGAGCAGGGCTCGCATTTGTTAGCTAGCTTTGTGGTGTGTGTCTCTGATGGAAAATGCCATCACTCAGGGAACAGCAGGCAGCCTCAGAGGGAAAACAAATGGGCTCAGTCATAAATGGCACCCCAGCTTTATTAAATGCCACCCCAGGACAACGGCAAATGAGCCCATCCGCCAACCTCCCTAAGGGAAGCTGCTCAGTACCTCAAAGCCATGTTCGGTGGGGGAAGGAGCCGGCACCCACCAAGGAAAATCGGGGCAGAGGGGCGGAGCTAGCATTGGGGGGGCATATACAGGGGCTATAAGCTAAAAATACAGGGAGATAGCACAGCGAGTAGGGCATTTGCCTTGCACACGGCCGACCCGTGTTCGATTCCCAGCATCCCATATGGTCCCTCAAGCACCACCAGGAGTAACTCCTGAGTGCATCGCCAGGTGTGACCCAAAAAGCAAAAAAAAAAAAAAAAAAAAAAACAAGAAGAGAAAATCAGGGTGGAGGGCATGATACTGTTTGCTGGAGTAACCCCAGGCGAGGGGTGGGGTGCCCCTTCCTGAACAGCAGGAGACAGTGGCAGGTGGAAGGAGACCAGACAGATGAAGGTGCCGGCTCTGTGGCTGGACGGTCACTGATCTGTTCTGGAGAGTCCCCTAGAGACACCCCCAGCACTGAGCACTGGTGGCCTCTGCCAGTGCGAGGATTTTGTGGCAGATCTGGGTTCTCCAGAAATAGGCACTGAGAAAAGCCTTCTACCTCTGGGTGACACTCAGACACAGCGGCGTGCGCCTGGGGCAAAGAACAGGGCAGAGTCCCCCCTCCCCCCCGACAGGGTGCAGGTGTGGCCAGTGTTGAGAAGGGGAGTCAGGGGCCGTGTTGCATTTGCCAGAGTTCCAGGGGCGCGAACCCCTTCCCCAGAAACTTCCCTTCTTTCTGGTGGTTGCCACTTGCAGATAGATCCTTGGTTCTGTGGGCCCGTGTGTGAGAGTAGGCAGTGAGAAAGGGGTCTGGCTCTATGGTGCCCCAGGACCCTTCACCTGCAGGGAAGGCGACCTCCCCACCCAACCTCCACACATCACTGGCTTTTTCCCTAAGTCCATGTGTTTACGGCTCATTGTAAGAAGTTCTATCCTCTTTTTGTCACAACTCTGGGATCTGATTTTCAGAAATGACACAAAACCCATCAGGATTCGGCACTCCACCGTGTTGACAGACGTGCCCTGTCTTTGCTGCCGCACGTAATTAATTTCTTGATAAATGAATAACAGATGAAAACAAAACAGCACCGGCTCCGCCGTGGGCAGCACACGAGGAATAATTTACACTCATAAATAACCATGAAGCAGCTTGCCTTTAGCGGCCGCATCTTGAAACGTGCACCGTCTTGACAGCTTGCAAAGCCTTGTTAGGCCTCCCCTGGGGCCCAGACCCCATTTTCCAGGAGCTGTTTCCAAAGGAGCTTCACTGCTCCTGTGTAGAGTAAGACGTGACTCAGGAGTGACGCGCAGTATGACTTGGTGACATTTGACCGCTGCTTTTTCTCTTTGCAATCACAGACGTACCAAGTGGATCTGAAGCCCAATGGGTCAGAAATAATGGTCACCAATGAGAACAAAAGGGAATATATTGAGTACGTATGCACATGCTTCCTCCTCCTTGAATTCTCTGGGGCCACACGTTTGGCGGGCGTCCCTTCCCTTGCTGGGACTGCTCGTGCATGTGACAGACACGCTCTGATGCCGTGAGTCAGAGGTCAGTTATGGTAAGGCAAGGAAGTGGACGCCTCTCAAGGCTGATGTGAGTGATGCATGGAGGTACAGGGCAGCGTGGTCAGGGCACACTATGGGACAGCGGGTTTAAAGGGGGAGCCTTGGAGCAGGGGGGCCCAGCAGTGGTGACCCCAGGCTGGCATCGGGACCATGCAGAGACAATATTGCAGCTCTTCTGACTTTTTTTTTTTTTTGGCTTTTTGAGTCACACCCAGCAATGCTCAGGGGTTACTCCTGACTCTGCACTCATGAATCACTGCTAGCAGGACACCTGGGATGCCGGGGGCTCGAACTCTGGGTCGGCTGAGTGCCAGGCAGACGCCGTCTCCACTGTATTATTCGCCTCAGTCCCTCTTCCATCTTCTTTGCCTGGTGAATTGTATCTGGTATTTGTCATCCTCTTGACCCCGTTCTTGACTTCAGTTTGTGGGACTTCCAGAACATCGGTTCTAACGTTGGTGACCACCGTTATCTCTCTCGGGCACAGTCCGTTTTCCTCTGGGGGTGCTTTCCTCTGTGGGTGGTTTCCGGGTGGCCGTGGTGTAGGTCTGAGGCTGGGGCCTTGGGCACTGCATGTTGTGCAGATAACAGCAGGGCTGAGCTCCCCTCTTTCTGTCAGCTCTGTTTTCACCTGCCGGCTGCATCCTCGTTCTTGGCTGATCAGAGGACAGGGCTCGGGAGCCTTGACCGGGGTCTAAGTCTGTCTGCCCGTGACTGGCCATGTAGGAGGATATCTCCGCCGAGAGCCTGGAGGCACCTCCTTGGAGACCCCCAGCACAGTGCTGACGGCAGGCTTTACACCATCAGCCAGCCCTGAGGCTGGAGCAATAAATAGCACAGCGGGGAGGGCATTTGCCTTGCACGTGACCGACCCGGGTTCGATTCCCAGCATCCCCTATGGTCCCCTGAGCACCGCCAGGAGAAATTCCTGAGTGTATGAGCCAGGAGTAACCCCTGTGCATCGCCAGGCGTGACCCAAAAAGCAAAAGAAAAAAACAAAAACCCAACATCAGCTAGCCCTCCTGACTGTGTTTCCAACGCCCTTAAGATCTGTGCATTGGGCTTCGTATTTCCTACTGATGGGGGCACCTTCGACGGGGAGGGAGGCCGACAGCCTCCAGCAGAGTGAAGGACTAAGCCCTACCCTCACTGGCCCCTGCCGGCACCCAGAGCACCATTCTGCCTGGTGCATGGCTGCGAGTGGTCTGTGCCCCAGGCCGGGCCGCAGGGGGAGTTGCTTGGTGCCATAGTCCACAGGCTGCTTGGCCACCCACATCTTGAATGGACTCCGGGGGCTCCCCTGGTCCCCTGGCAGGCAGATCGCAGTGACGGGGGGCGGGGGGGGGGGGGGGGAAGCAGGGATGCTGCTTGTCCTGTTTCTTTTTTTTTTTTTTAATTGAATCACCATGAGATAGTTACAAGCTTTCATGTTTGGGTTACAGTCAGGCAATGATCAAACCCCCCCTCCCTCCACCAGTGCACCAGTATCCCTGGTTGCTTGTCCTGTTTCTGCAGCACTCTTTGTCCTCGGGTATGGACTAGCTCGCTGGGGAATTCTCTGCAGTGGTTGAAAACCAGCATCGCTGGACGGGCTCTCGGGTTCTGTCTGAGGGGTCAGGGGGGGGTCCCCACAGGCACAGACGGGCACACGGAGGAGCTGCTGCCCCCGGCCTTGTCCCTTTGCTCCGCACTGCAGAGGAGAAACCAATGGAACCACATGTATTTGGTAGTTTGGTTCCGCGAATGCTTGACTAAAGGGGACATGTGGAGGGGACTGAGCATCTCAGGACTCGGCGTTTGAGGTCCTGGGGGATGGCGGGTTCCAGGGAAGGGCTGTACACGGCTCAGGGCTGGATTGGGCTCCATCTGGGGAGATGCAGCCGTGGGGGGCACGGGGGGGGGCACACACGGGGGGTGGGGGTGCGGGGAGGCGCTCACGGCCTGCTCTGCTCTCTCCCAGCCTGGTGATCCAGTGGCGGTTTGTGAACAGAGTCCAGAAGCAGATGAACGCCTTCCTGGAGGTAGGTGCCACCCCGGGCTCCCCAGGGGAGAGGATGGAGAGGGCCTCACCCCCACCCCCCCACCCTGAGACCCACCTGTGTGGTCGCTCTCCTTGGAATCGCGGGCTTGGTTCTGGCCTCGCTACTCATTCCTCAGTTTCCCCTTTTGACAAACTCGGCAGACACAAAGGTGCGGGTGCTGCCTGCTGCCCCGTGGGTCCGTGTGCGGGGCCCAGGGAGGGGGGAGGCCGAGCTGCCTTTCCCTCAGGGTGGAGGGGGAAGCTGGAGAGTTTGGACTCAGAGCTGGGCTCACTCCTGACCGCACAGGGATGTAAAAACTGGGTCTTAAGCCGAGTCCCTGGACCTCATTTGCTTGAGTTTCACCAGGGCCATCCTCAGCAGTGCCCAGGACTACTGGGGCTGCCCCCAGCAGAGCTTGGGGAGACCCTGCAAGTGGAGTTCACTCTCAGGGCCTCACCGATGCCAGACACATGCTCACCATCTGAGCTATCCCCCTATCCCTTGGCCCGGGTTAGTTTACTTGGGGAGGCGGCGGTGGGGGGGGGGGGGGGCAGGGTTAAGCCCCACCAGGCTGTCCCTGGAAAGAGGATCCAGATTCCCCTGAGAGGGGACGGCCTGTGGCCGGGGGGAGGGGGGGCAAGGGGGGCAGGAATGGGCTTTTCAACCTGCCCTCCATGGCTGGTCTTTGAGGACACACCCGAAAGAGAGCACAGGAGAGAGAGCACCAGGCATGGGCATCCCCCTGCACACAGCTCGCTCCGGTTTTGGTCTCTGACACTCCTTGGCAAGCGCCAGGATTGATCCCTGAGCACAGCCAGAAGTAGCCCCGGAGCACCATTGAGTGTGACCCCCAAACAGACACACTCAGAACATAAACAGAGACACTCAGCTTTGGCATCGGCGGGCTACAGGAAACTGTGCTTCATGGGGCTGTTCCCCATCCCCCCTGCTGGCTCTCATTACTGGGACAACAGCTGGCGGTGGGTGGTTGTCCCCGTGGGGACACGTGTCACCACGTGTCATCTCAAGGAGCTGATTTTTTTTTCCCCTGCCTGAACCCACTAACGTTTGTTATCTTGCAGGGCTTCACGGAGCTGCTTCCCATTGACCTGATTAAAATCTTTGACGAGAATGAGCTAGAGGTGCGTATTGCCAATGCTTTCTGGAAAGTGGCCCTTCTAGAGAGGCCCCCTCACCCCCCCTTGGCCCAGGACAGCCACTTCTCAGCCACGTGGCCGACACACCTTGAGTTTCAGCCCAGATGCTGGTTTCTAACCCTTCACCTCATCACTGGAGACAGTCTAGCATTTCTCACCCGATTGAACTGGAGCGATTTTCTTACACAGTTTCATATCACTCACAGCCCACTTTTTTTTTTTACAAAAAAAGTAAAAAAGAAATGGGGGCACAGAAAGTCTGCAACGACGTGGTGCGATAGGGCGGAGATGAGTCTGTCGCTCTCTGTGGTGGAGGATGCGGGGAAGTTGAGCAGGAACAGATGTTCCCGCCCCAGTGCCCTTGCCCGGGATGGAGCCGTCCTCTACTTGGCCCCAAGTGTCGGGCTGGGTGCTCCTGCTCTAGCAGAGCCTGGTCTGGGGGTCCGGGAGGTGGCGGGGGAGGGGGCCAGTCACTGGCAGGAGGCAAGGGCTGCACCCCTTCTTCCCAATCGCCAGGAGGCGAGTATAAGCCTGGGCAGTCGGCCGCCTTCCCCCGGTCTGTGCCTAGAAGGGCGATCAGGGTTAGGACAAGGGGTGGCTCACATGAGGCTGTGCCAGCAGCCAGGAGAATTGGCCCCGGCAAAGCCAAGGACCCGCCCACGCCTCATGCAGGCACAAGGGTTCGGGGCACCAGGTACTGTTGCCCCAAGCCCATCCCAGGAAACACTACTCAGAGGACAGCCTTTTATCGGCTTACCTGAAAACAGAAACTTCGGAATCTGCCGGGCGGGTGGCGTCCAGGGACAGGTGTGTCCCAACACTCAGGACACCGAGGCTGGGAGCTGCATGGCCGTCACTGCAGGAGTTCAAGCAGTGTCCGTGCCAGACTTCTGGGCCTCTGCTCATTCCGTTTTACGGGGGTCCCTCTGTAGAGCACCCCTAGTCTTCTGTCCAAAGAACCTTCCCTGGCTCGGGACACAAGAGACCCCCCCCCCCGTCATTTTCATGGGTGCCGGTCATCTCTGCATGGGACAGAATCCAGACCGGGGTGGGGGGGACTCTCTCCCGAGGGCAGATTGCTGGAGTCCCCTGGGCTTGGACCCGGCCCCTCTGGGACACAGGTCACTCTCCTTCCAGCTGCTGATGTGTGGCCTCGGGGACGTGGACGTGAACGACTGGAGGCAGCACTCGATCTACAAGAACGGCTACTGCCCCAACCACCCTGTCATCCAGTGGTTCTGGAAGGTACGGGGGGTGCCCACCCCACCCCCACCCCCACCGCCCCTCGCTGAGCTCTCAGCTCCCTTCCCAGGCCAGGTCGGGACTGTGGCTCCAAATATGCATCTTCTATCTAGTGCTGGACGTTGGAATCTGCGCTGGGCCCCACGGCCGCACCGTCCCCATAACCCAGACGCTCCTGAGCTGATGGGCCTCCCACCCCCATTTCAGAAACACCCCCGAGAAATGAACCTTCTTATAGCAAACAAATAGGAGGCGCCCTCCAAATTGTATCCGATTTCTCTTCCCCCTCCTTGGCCACCTTGGGCTGGAGGCTGTGTCCCCTACTCTGGGGACCCCAGGCGGGTGTGCTGGGCACTTCTTGAGTGAGGCTGGGCCTGCCCACAGCCCCTGGCCCATACTCACCCACTCATGCCAGGGGCATCTGCCGAAGGGACCCGGGGAGTGGGCTGGTTCTGGAAAGTAGGTGACGGGGTTCTGGAGTTGGAGAGAATGCCCCAGGGTGTAAAAAAGAATAGATAACGTGGAGCTAGAGCCATAGCACATCGGGTAGGGCGTTTACCTTGCATGCGGCCAACCCGAGTTCGATTCCCAGCATCCCATATGGTCCCCCTGAGCACTGCCAGGAGTAATTCCTGAGTGCAGAGCCAGGAGTGACCCCTGTGCATCACCGGGTGTGACCCAAAAAGGTAAAGAAAAAAAAAAAGAAAATGTCTCAGGACAAAAATGTGTTTCAGGGGCCAGTTTTCCCCAAGTTGCCATTTGGGGTGGGAAATTCATGCCCCCAGTTTTAGGTTTTGGTAATTCCAGCAGATAGTTGGATCTTCTATCAGAGATGACATCTGGGCCCTCTGGGAGGGACCCTGGCCTCCCCCCCCCCCATAGCCCCTGCCCCTCCCCACACACACCCCCTCCCCGTCACTCACAGCAAGACCAGATGCAAATGGAGCTGGGTTGGCTGTCTCGGGCCAGGGTTCGCCTTCTCTGGCGCTTAGGGGTGTTACGACCCAGGGAAGATGAGGGGGTCCCTGGGGAAGGTGGAGAACCGCCTACAAGGAACCAGGTCCAGGGGCACAGCTGCTGAGCCCCCTCAGAAGCCACTTTCTGTGGCACAGGGAGAGCCCCGGAGACGAGTGATGAGCCAGATCTCCAGTTCTGACCCCAGCTCCTGCTGCCCTAGCACCGAGGGCTACACAGCAACAGGGTTCATCCGAGGACACCCACCCCGTTCTCGTGAGCTCACTGGACATGCACCTCGTGTGATTTGAGGGACTTTGTTTGTCCCTCTTGGCCTCTGCTTTCCCACGGTTCCAAGATGTTGTCTTCAGAGAATTGGCCATCGGCAGCCCCCAACCCCCAGCCCCAGCCCAAGCTCCCTGCCACGGGCGCTTCTCTGGGTGTTTGCTGCTGGTCCCGGGAGTAGCAGGCCCCACCCAAGGCCCAGGGAGCGCACACTCGGTCTCAGTTATGCTGAACTATTGGCAGAAGGAAGGGGCCTTGTGATGCTTCTCAGATTAGAGCGTACGGAAGAAACCTCAGTTTACAGGGCCACCGTCCAGGCCTCCGTTGCAGGACAAAGGGGATCAGCCAGTGCCACTGGACCCTAGTGACCTCCACTCTGTCCCCAGGCGGTGCTGCTGATGGATGCCGAGAAACGGATCCGGCTACTGCAGTTCGTCACCGGGACGTCCCGGGTACCTATGAATGGATTCGCCGAGCTCTACGGTGAGCACTGACTGTGGCCCCGGAAGGTGCCCACAGGGCCCCCAGAGCTGCCAGCACACTGGGTGTGGGGCCGCGCTGGCCTGTGCCCCCCAGAAACTGCAGCCACCAGCTTGGCACAGGCTCCTGTTTCAGCCACTGCGTGGGCCACCCTTTGCTCTCAGTCTCTCGCACAAACTAGGCTGAGCAGGGCCCTGTGTGTGGCTGTCAAGGACCCTCGCCCGCAGGAGTGGGACCCCCTCATTCATCCACAGTGATTTCCCAGAGATAGGGCTCAGAGCGCTTGTCTCGCCTTGGGAGGCCCTGGGTTCGATCCCAGCACCATGAAGCTTTCTGAAACACTCTCTCCTCCTGCTCTGTCATTTGAGTCCCCTTTCTCTTCACCTCCAGGATTCATTTGCAGCATGCAGTGTAGACGTCTAGGACGCCCTGAGGGGCTGAGCTGTCTACACTGTCCCCTGCGGCCGTGTTTGTTAAACATGGAGGGTCTCTGGGGGAAGGGGACACAGAGGCTTGCGGTGAGGTGGCCTTGAGGGGTTGTCCCAGGCTCTGCCTTTGGGGACCCCTGGCTGGTACGCTGACCATGTGTTCTCTTCCTGCGCAGGCTCCAACGGTCCTCAGCTGTTTACAATAGAGCAATGGGGGAGTCCTGAGAAACTGCCCAGAGCTCACACATGGTGAGTGCGTGTGTTATGGGGGGGTGGGCAGAGGCTGACCTGTGGCACGCCTGTCTGTGTGTGGCCGACTCTCAGCAAGCGAGGTGCAGACGCCCAGCCGGGACGTTTGGCCGAGCTCATGGGCACAGCTCTGCGTGGCCGTGGGTGGTGCCAGCTCCTCGAGGTCCAGGAAGGCCACAGGTCTGGACTGTGACATTCCAGCTTTGCCTGAAGACTGCAGCTGCGCCCCTTCCACAGCTCGGGGTTCCAAAGATCTCACAGCTGAAACCACAACTAAGCTCCTTCCCTGGGGAACGCCAGCTCATGGAGCTCCCTGGAGACTCCCTCTAGGTGTGCCCGTGGACCCCATGGGCCAGGCCCAGGAAGTGATCGGTGCTGAGTTTGGGGCCGCTTCTTGGTAACCCCATTAGACCTGAGAGCTCATGGTGTCTCACGGACCATGTGGGGCATTAGTGGACCTGCCACTAAGAAACGGGAACCTGTTTCCTACAACTGCCAGGGTTTATTAGCTCCTAAGACATGGGGGTGGCGGTCACCTTTGGAATGCGGTGTCTGCAGGGGCCACAAAAGTGGGCGCTCAAGGCGGAGTCTGGAGTCCTCCAGGGTCTGAATCTGGGCTCTTCTGATGCCTCTGTGACTTCAGGAGGATCCTGTAGCTGCTTCACAGGGCACTTGGAAGGGTTTTGAGAGTTTGTCCCCAGGCCAGCACCCCCTTAACTTGCTCCTGCTCCATCGCCTGGCTTTGTGGGCCTTCCAGACCAGTGGCAGGTCAGTAGCCCCTCATGCTATGACAGGCGGCTCCAGACTCCACACACAGGTTCGGGGAGCCCCTGGACGTGTCCGGGGCTGTGCGTGACTTTGCCTGGCTGAGGGGGTAGCTTAGCTGTGGTATCCCACAGCCAGTCAGAGGGAAAGACCTCCACTGAGGGATGTGACTAGTAAAGGGAGTTTCTCCGGGGGAAAGAGGCAGTCTGGGTCCTGGCGAGGCCTCAAGCCGAGCAGCTGACACAGGCAGGCAGAGCCGAGCCACCCCTGGTACCTTAGTCCTGGGGCCTGTGGGTCCTGCCGCTCAGAGGGTCTCCCAGCAGCTTGCCCGGCTGTGGTAATGGAGAGCATAGCTCACCGTCAGCCAGAAAACCTTAACTATCCTCCATGGTCGAGGCAGCCCCCTTGGCCTGGATAACTTTGTTGCTGGAATTTATTTCACAACAGTCGAACTTTCTTGAGACCAGAGAGATAGATACTGCAGGCATTAAGGCACTTGCTTGGCACACAGCCAAACCCAGGTTCAGTCCCTGACCCCTTCTAAGGCCTTCTAAGGCCCTTCCAGTAACCACCAGGAGTGACCTCTTGAGTCCAAAACCAGGAGTAAGCCCCGAGCACTCCCAAGTGTGGCCCAAACCCACCCCCTGCCCCTGAAAAGGAAAAAAGAATTGAACGCTGCCATCCTCCTACTCCAACACCCAGCCCCCAGCCCCTCCCCCTCTGCTGACCGTCAGAACCGCCATTGCACCAGAGGTGGGGGTGGGTCCTCACCTGCACTTTCTCTCTTACAGCTTTAATCGCCTTGATTTACCTCCATACGAAACCTTTGAAGATTTACGAGAGAAGCTTCTCATGGCGGTGGAGAATGCACAAGGATTTGAGGGGGTGGATTAAACACCCCCACATCCAGGAGAGGGTGTTCGTCCAGCAAGCCCTGCTTGCACTTTTTGCATTTGCCTAACAGACTGCAGAGACGCCGGCCCAAGCGCCGTGGCCGGCTCCTGCAGCAAAGCCTGGCCCGCAACTTGCCCCCCGTTTCGCCGTGGGAAGCCAGGCCCAGGTCGCGTTCCTGCATTTTCCGCCACAAATTACCAACCGGTTGACGTGTGCACTAATTACATTTCAGGAGGACTTAATCTATTTATGTTGTGCCTCGGTAGGCAAAGCCCTTAATAAATATTTTACATACTTTATAATGACAATGATGAATGGAATTAATCACTCTACAGGTATAGTATTACAACTCATGTTTACTTTTTAAAATGATTTAGACCGATTTTCAGATTTTATTTCATTACGATTAAAGATGTCTCGTGTACTTGGAAAAGTGAGCTTTTTTTTTTTTCTGTATATCATAACCAGGTTTAATGTCAGTGACGATGTTCTTTTGGAAGTTCTTGAGAACCCCCTCTCAATCCTTTACCTGTTTCAGATCAGAAGATCGCTCCTTTGTCCAAAAACCTTTCCTAGATGAGTACTTGGAGAGAATTTAGACTTTAACCTTAGGTATCATGATCATATATATTTTTTTTCATACTCCAAGAGAATGAAAACAAACTGGAGACTTTTTTTGTGTGTGTGTACAAATTCCGCATCCCTAGCCACGGGCCGAGAGAACTGTAACATAGCATGACAAGCCTCGTGTAGACTTTCAGGAGTTATCCCTAAGTTCTTCCTTAGGAGAAGCCGCGTCCTATACCTGGCTGACCAGGAAGCTGCCATTTCTGGGAGGAAAGCGGCTTCACCCTTCCCAACTGCCCCGTCACTCCCTGATGACCTTCTCTTCGCCGTCTGTGGTGGAGACGCGTGGATGATGGCGCTTGGCCCTGTAGAAACCAGCTCTGTGTCGTCTGCTGTTTGTTAACGCGTGTGTGAACTGTGGCCGATGTCGTGTCCTCTCTCCGCACCGACCCGGAAGGCACTTTACGTACTCCCCGGATGTCACCTGGCGGTGTGGCCGCTGCCTGGGGTCCTCCTAAACATTCAGTGTGACGCTGCTTTCCTCTCCCGCCCCATCCCGTCCGCGCCGTGTCTATTGATGATCGTAAACGTGGCCACTGGTGTACACGCCTGGACATGAAACTGAGCCTCCAGACCTCACCCAGTAACGGGCAGAAGTGCCCTCCGCCTGCCCTCGGCTGCCAGCTCCGACTGCCCGTCGCATGTCGCATGCTCCGGTACCCGCGTGTCTCAGCCGTGTCCTGTGCCCTGGCTAATGGACAGAGAAGACCATGTGCCCATGTTGCAAGGCAGGGGGCCCGCGCATGTGGGCTCTTACTCGAGTCTCTGGGGGGGATCCGGGCGTGTTTGGAGAGAAAACCTAAGGCAGGGGGAAATCGCACAAACCTGCGTTTGTTGTCACCCCGTGGTCTCCTAGATCTGCCAGCTATCACGAGGCCGCGTAGGGACAAGGACAGAGGGTAGTTTGGGGCCGTTCCTTGTTGACTTAGAAGGAGCTTCTAAGGGAAAACTTTGCTTTGTGCCCAGGTCTGGCTGGCTTGTGAGATACTGTGAATGTTTATAGCTGCCTTTTGAGTTGTCCAAAGGGGTGCCGGGTACCCCGCTGTCTCAAAGAAGGGGGATTCCTACAGAGCTGAGCGTGGATTCCCTGTCTGTGTTGATTTTGAAACACCCAGTCGTGGTCGGAAAATTTAGATGTTGAAAAACTAGAAAAATACGGTATCGTTCATTACTTCATCCATATGTGGGTTTCCTGCCCTTCCCATAAGACTGAGCCCCCAATTCACCCGGTTATGTCCCCCTCAGTCTGATCTTGGCTTTAAGATCTGCGCCAGCATCTGGGTAATCAGGCTGGTCGTTATGGGGGAGATGCCCAACAATTCTAACCTAAGAAGTGGGATTCCTCTATCAATTTGTCAAAACTGTTCAAAAAAAAAATCTAAGCGTTCACTTAGAGACTAGAAAAGAAAACCCGGATATAAGATCATCTGGAGACATGGACAAAACTCATCCATGAAACTCACCCGTTCGGTATTCCCATGTCCCTTCCCCTTCCTGACGTCAGTGATAAGGAAATCGTGCTGGGTTGGGCTCAGCCATGTTCCCTTTCCTTCCAAATCTGGTGCACACACCCACAGTGATCACCCAGGACTTAGCCGCTGTGGTCCTTGGTCTGGTCTTCTCTAAATCCTGACACTCACTGTCATCTCTGCCCCAGAAATGGCAGCACACGACCCACCCCAGCCGTTCCCAGGGTGTTACCCGCCCAGTCAGCAGGCCTGGGGAAATGTGGGATCTGTCCTAGTCCACCTGGGGCCTGGCATCGCTGTAGCCCCGTTTTCTGAATGATGTCCTGTAGATTTCCCCTGCTTCCCTGAAGAAGGCCTGGTCAAGAACCACGTGGGCACGAAGCTGACGCAGACCTGCCTGCCCACACTGCCCCAGCTGCCCTGGCTTTTCTCCCTGCTCCCTGGAGACTGTGTTTTGGAAAGCTCACCCTGGGGCCCGGCGGGAGGGGTCTCCCCTCTGTGCCCGCAGAACTGGGTGCCTTTGAACGCTGCATCCATTTGAACGCTTGCTGGTTTGCCTGAAGCAGCTCCTCCCGTGGGCCCAAATGCCTCTCACTCAGTCTCCAGAGCCTCAGGCCCTCACAGAGGGTAGAAAGCAGTTGGCCTGGTTCTATCTCTTTCTCTTTCCCTGGCCCCTGAACCCAGGACGATTCTGCGATCACAGGGAACCACGTTACGTGGTTCATCAGGCCATAGGGCCCAGGGCTGTTTGACCTGGTCAGTCCTGGCTTGAAACCTGAGTTCACGTGCCCCTGTCTGTGATTCATGGTTCTAGCAGTTACTCACTGGGCCTCTGGGAGCTTGCCAAGTCTTACAGCTCTCATTTAAAACTTTGTCTCCAAAGAGAGCTGGGTTCGGGCCACCCTGGGGCCTCCAGCCCACTGCCCAGCAATCTTTCTCCGCCGCCTGGTGTCGTCTTCAGCCTTTGCCAGTAGGGGGCACCGCTGTGCAGGGGGAAATGCCTGGCCCCTTCCCTCCTGCCTACCTCTGTCTCCTCCGGGCTTTGGGGTGCATCAAACTAAGTCCTTTTCAAAACTGCCAATTTCAGGTCTGAGATGGGTTGTTTCATTTCAGTTTTTTAATCCTCATCAAGTTCCCTTTGTACTTTAGGTTTTCAAAGCCGGGAGGTCGGGTGGGTGGGGGTGGGGGGGAGGTGATATTCTTCAGACCACTTTTGGTTTAATTTATCTAAGCCTTAAAGAAACGAATGGTGGCTAGCCACTTAGACACACACCCCGTGCTGTGTTCTCGTGTGTCCCAGGAAACGCCACGGAGTTAGGATGCGGGCTTGGCCCACGCTTCGCAAAGTTGACACTCTGTGCGTGCGAGTCCTTTTCTCAACAGACATCTGTCCTTGCTTAGAAAGAGTAACGTGGCACCTGTGTAAAATGCATGTCTTTCCACTGCTTGGCTTTCCGTGTGTAGAGAGAGACGGGAGGAACCACGCGCCACTGACCTCAGACCTGGGTGTGTGGACGGCGGAAGCTAGACTCCTTCCAGATCAGAACAGTGTCTCTCTGCGTCTCCCTAAGCTGGTTGGTCCTCTCGGGCTCATTTCACTGAGATTGGCACGCCCTGCCTAGCACGGCGTAGAGTGGGCCCCCCTGGTGACCCATCTGAATGTGTCTGCCGGCTCGATGCCGCACTCCAGATTCGAGAGCATCTCCACTCCTTTCCCGAGTAACCTGACTCCAAAAGAGAGTGGGTGCTGAGTCTCCCTTCCGGTTCTATCCCCGATGAGTCCTGAGCATTCAGACCCCAGGTGCCCGAGAGAACCCCAGAAAGATCATGTTCATTTGCTGTCATTTTTTTAAATTCAGAATCAATGGTCAAATAAAGGGGAAAAACTGAACTTTTTAGGTCAATAGTTGCAAGCATTCCAAATGAATTCTAAGCGTTTCTTAACTTTTTATTATAACCCCCCGCCTCCTAGTCCGAAGCCCGAGTGCTATTTGATACAATGATTACAAACCAAACAATTTTGACATTTTTTTAAGACAACATACGGCAAACGCTCATTTTCACAATCTGAAGAGCTTTGGGGGGAAAAAAATAGGGTTGAATTTGATATGCACAGGAAACGCTGTGTTTGTTTAAGAATAAATCCTTTCTGCTTTCTTTTTTTTTTTCTTAAGAGATCTCAAGAGAAATTGTAGCTTGTTTTCCTGACAGCGAAAGCATACTGTCACCCAATGAAGTCATTGTAAGAAGTGATACCACTTGTCAAATATTTAATAAAGTCTTATGGAAGCTGGAACATTTTCTACATCAAGTACTCTGCGTCGTCTGTTTTCATTGTTTCAGAGGTGTCCGTGCCTACGGGCTGATAGTCTGTTGTTTTCCTCAGCATCCCTGAAGGTTACCCGCCTTTGAAAACATGATTAAGAACAGGGGCCTAACTTCATGAGAAACACATTCTCTCAGGCTGTCTTCTCATTAAACTTGCGAATCCATGACCCTAGAGCACTAGGATAATAAAGTCATCCCCCAGGAAAGGCATATTTTGTCCCTCCTTTCTCTCCCATCAACCCTTCATTGATACAAGACTCAGGAAGCAGACAAGGCAGATTCTCAGAAGAAAGATGCCCACAGACGTGTCCGTTTTCTGTGGATTAAGCCTCCTCTGGAGGGCGCAGGGATGGACTCCCAGAGGTATCACCCAAAAGGATGTATTTGACTGGTCCTTGGTTCCTTGCCCTTGACCTTTTTCCGTTAGCCAAGAGTGGACCTTGCCAGAAGGGAGACGGTGCCACCCCCTCCAGGCTGTCCCCCACACTTACACATTTACAAGCCAGGAGCCACCCCAAGAGTTCAGCTTGTCCTTAGACAAAGGTGACTGAAGGGAGGAAGACTGCACCAGGCTGGAAAGAGACATGAGTTTCTAGTCCAAATTTCCATTTCCCTGGGACGAGAGGAGCTCCCTTTCCAGTGCCCTGTCTCCCTGGTGTGTATGTGCGTGCGTGACTTACCAACATGTGTCTGGAACATGTAGGTAGTTTGCACGCAGGCCTGAAGCCCAGGATCTGTGTCTGCAGGAAGTAGGCTTGTTCAGGGACCACACCCAGGACAGAAGCTCCCACCGCACCAACAAGCCCCCAGAACCTCTATTATTTCCCCCCTTCCGTCCATTGCATGCATGCAGGCCATGGGCTTCACCGCTGAGCCATATCCTCCGCCCAGAACCCCCAGCCCATTTTCCAGACCCTAACTTTTCTTTGTCCAGAGATTTTTAGGACCTTCAAGGAGCAGAGGCTGCACCCTGGACCACCCCCCACCACAAACCCCAGGCAGGATTAGACGGGGTTCCTGGAGACTGCATCCTACACAGCCTCTGCCTGAAAGAGGAATTTTAGATATCCATGGCACT